TGACACTGTCAGCAGTTCTTGCAGAATGCCAACCCAAGGAAAAGGTTTCCCAGAGTGCATTTCTAGGACCCAAAGTGTGGCCGCTTTTGCACAACAATCTGCACAAGCACTAACTCTTAATTCATACCACCAAGGAGATACGTGATTGTTTCCTAGAATTGCTAATAATACGAGGCTCATAAATACTAATGAAATACTATAGATTAGCAGGGCTCAGCAAGTAACCTAAGGGCCTAGAAGAGAATTTTGGCTCATATAAAGAATACCTTTTAAACAAATTTTGCCCCAACTAGGTTCCCAAATGTTAATGAATACTCTCTGGCTGTAAGGAGAGCAGACTCCAATAAGTACCTCCAGTGCACAAGAGAATTTTTTACTTAGCTTTAAGCTTGAAAAGAAATCTGTTTATTCAAAGGCTATTTTAGGGGCCCAGGGATGGACCAGTTTACAACAAAGGTTGGGAAGGGTGAGAGGGCCCAGGACATGGAGATAAGCGCTTGATTCAAAGCATGCTTCAGTTCCAGCCTCGAGCAGCCTGAGTCGGGACTCACTCTCTGGCTTTGTCTTTTATGGTGTGATGCTTCGGTGATAGTAACTGCTCAGGAACAAGTGAGGCTCCCCAATGCCAGAAACCCTATCACTGTGATTCTTTACAAACCCCAGCACAGTCTCCCCAGCTAGGCAGCAGCACACACTGGTATGCTTGAGGACCGGATCTGCGGTGGGCTGGCTGGGCAGGGCCTCAGCAGCATGTTGGTTTGTGTGAGATATGGGGCTGGAAGGAACTGACCAGGCAGATGCATCAATGTGCATTGGCTGGTTCAGGTGACAGACCAAACCTGACCCTGCACTGGCTGGTACACACAAGTCAAGTTTGAAATCAGCCCAGGTGAAGTTTGCCCAACTGCATCACAGGACTCAGACTTTGGCCACTGGGAAAATCACAGGATGTGTAGTCTGACCTTGGAAAGCATGAATCAAGACTGGGCCTCCTCAGTTGCTGATGCCTGTGCAATGGACAGCACACCCAGATGCACATGGGGCCCTGACAGCCAGATGATCTAGGCCAGCAGGGGCTATCAACTGCCTCATCAGAGGATGGAAAGCAGAACAGGTTGGAGAATTCTCCTAGCCAAGCTTTGCAGCATGTTCCTGAGTCTGTGGATGCACTTTGTCAACCAATAGACTTTGGAGAGATTTTCTCAACCCTGGAACAATGAAACCAACAACTTCTCACAATTATCAAAACCACTCCAGTAACATCCTCAGAACATTCTTCCCCATGTCAGGGTCTGTAAGGCGTCATCAAAGGACCATCCCTGGTCCTGGCACTATGGTTCAATGCATAAATCCTCTCCTTGTATGCCACTGTGGTCCTGTATGGGTACCTCCTGGATGCTCTACTTCCCTTCCAGCTCCCTGCTTGTGGCCTGGGAATGCAGCAGAGGACGGCCCAAAGCCCTGGGACCCTGCACCCACATGGGGAACCCGGAAGAAGCTCCTGGCTCCTGGCTTCGGATCAGCTCAGCTCTGCCCATTGCAGCCACTTGAGGAGTGTACCAGCAGAAGGAAGATCTTTCTCTGCCTCTTCTGATCTCTGTAAATCTGACTTTCCAATTTAAAAAATACCTTTTTAAAAAAACAAATGAAAAAGACGCCATCCCCATGTGCTGATGTAGTTTCACAGCAAGGAACAGCTCTCTCTCCTCCTCTCAGACCCTGTAGACACAGAAAAAAACTGAAACGTGTCCCATGCACCTTCCTCCCCCAAATGGGTGTGCACCCCTCTAAGCTATGTAAATAATATTAAAATATTAAAAAGAAAATAAAATAAAAACACCAAGATCTAACAGCATAGTACATATTAGGTGCTCAATGGATGAAGAGATCTTGTGAGCACTCCTCTCCAGCTTTTCAGATCTGACTTTTTCCTGAAGGTTTTTTTTTTCAGATCTTTCCTTTTTCCTAAGCATTCAGAGTCGTTACCTCCCCTAATAACTACAACCACACCCAGCCACAACATAGCTGTTCTAGCTTCTCTTCTAATCCTTCCCCTTCCCACTGAGTCCCAGGCTCACAAGACTCTCTGTTCTCCTGCTCACCTTCTACAACTCTCTCTGCCTGGAATGTTTGAACATTCTTTTCATCCATGTTTCTCTGCCAAAATCCTGTTCATCTTCCAAAGTCCTTCCTGAGTGGCTCCACCTTCATGGAAGCCTTGTCAACATCCTTGCTCTCTTCCTGGCTGAATTCAAAAGCTGGCCCACAATGCCCCCTGTTCCCCACAGGGATGGGCAGGTCTCTTGGCATGAAATAATTTGTCAACAACATGGTTGTGTTTTCCTCCAATGTGAATCCCAGAATACTGTTCACAGAACACGTGGCCTTAGGAAAGCCAGGATCCAGTTAAAGGAAGGCATCCAAAGGGCTCCTGCAGTAGAGCAGAGATATCCCTTTGGATCAGGCCATACAAAGGCCCTTGAAACAGGAAAGGGAGAGTCTAAAACAGAGGGAACTAGTGAGAATGCTAAAGGGGTCTCAGGTGTGCCAGGAGCCTGGCGTGTTGGCGGTGTGTGGGCAGACTCACGTCATGGGGTCTTGCCAGACCTGCAGAAGGCTCAGCCAGAGTCCTCTGTGAAGGGCATGACTTCTCATGATGCTTCCCTTTGTGGCGTGTCAAATTTCTGTTGGGGCAGCCATACGCTTTCCATAAACTTGCACTTGGCCAGTTATTGATTTTTAATGTTTGTGTATTTAGGAAGTAACAGACAATGGGAAGAAAATCCCCTTGCAGTCTTTTCCACAATAGACTGGGATAAACATTGAGGTCAGCCTGGGAAGTAGCCAAGTATTCTAAGATTCTGTAAATCCTGGGCTGCTTTCCAAAGTGGGTTAATTCCTTGCAAAGGAATAAGAAGCCACAAGGCAGTGCCTGTGAACAGCTGACACCTGTCTGGAGCCAAGCTCCCCAGAATGAACAAGGAATCACTCACTCATCCCCGTGTGACCTCTGCCTCCATCACTCATCCCCGTGTGACCTCTGCCTCCATCTCTCCAGCTGTAGGCTGCAAGATTATCAATGCCCATGGTAATGAAGAATATATGAACTAACAGTGTCAAGTGCCTATGTGGTAACGGCTTCATAAAAGATATCCAGAATCATTATTGTCATCCTACAGCAAAACTTCAGGCTGTGTGAGCCAAGTGGCACAGTGCTAGGTGCCAATTTATACAACTGCACACATTTTATATGTAATTTCATGGGGAGGGACCAGATGCTGCAAGACTGGGACTGAGATTAGGTAGGGCTTTGATGGGCAGTGGGCCCTGAGTCTATGGGGCATTTATTATGGTATTCCAGGAATTAGTCCTTTTTTTCCCCTAAGATTGATTTATTTTTATTGGAGAGGCAGATTTACAGAGAGACAGAAAGATGTTCTATCCACTGGTTCACACCCCAGTGGCTACAGCAGCCAGAAATGAGCTGATCCAAAGCGAGGATCCAGAAGCCTCTTCTGAGTCTCTCACATAAGTGCAGGTTCCCAAGGCTCTGGGCCATCCTTCACTGCTTTCCTAGGCCACAGGCAGGGAGCTGGATGGAAAGTGGACTAGCTGGAACATGAACCTGAGCCCATTCAGGATGACACTTGCAGGTGAAGAATTAGCCAATTGAACCATCCTTCCAACCCCAGGAATTACCACTACTCGGGAAGGCCACGCATGGCTCTAGAGCAAAGCTACAGAAGGAAACCTGAGCTGACCTTGAACTCTGGACTCGGCTTCCATGGGGCCTGGATCTGTAGACATGACAGCAGCTTGTTTTCAAGTTAAAATACATGTATAAGCAATGAGAAAAGTATCAAGTGAAACCCAAGAACCTAGTACCATTGTTGTCAGCCCCAATGCCTCCTGTCACCCAGCATCCTGGAAGAGCCTAGGCGTCCACTGCATCTCTGTGCAGCCTCGCCTGCATCACTTTATTACCCTGGCCCACAGATTCTTTACCTTCAGCGGAATGCCTAAAACTCAGTGGCTTGTTCACAGTTAGGGCCATGGCAGTGTCTGGCATCAGAGGTGTCTTAAATCTTCGGTCATGTTGCACCCTCAAGGTTTTGTTGTGACACAAGCTCCTGTGGATTCCAGACCAAAGATACTTTGCAAGACTTCTTCCTCCCAGCTAATCCTGAAGATGTGTGTGGAGAGGCAAAGGGTGATGTGAGAAGGGGGCTGCTCTGCCAAAGAAAGAGAATAGCCCTTGCTGTCCAGCAAGCTCAGGATGGGCACAGGGGAGCATCCAGGGACCCCAGCCAACGACCGACGGTCATGGCATCTTTGCCACTGAGAAGAAAAGGACCAGGCCAAGATGGAACACAATATTTGCTGAAGCAACAGGAAATAGAGATGAGCAATGGGGACAGGAAGGTGGAAAGCAGAAGGAACCAACGAATGATGCCCTGTTCTCCAGCCTTGGGAGAGAGCGCGCCTGAGGCACAGGAGGGGAGGGCAGCAGGGGAAGGGGCATGCCGGACAATGTGGAAGCTGGGAGCGGCTGGGTAAGGACCAGGGACAACCTCGCCTGGGGAGCTCTAAGCCCCCTGCCTCGGGCCCTTCAGCTCTCACAGCCACTGGAAATGGTAAGCCAGGTTCCTGGCCTACATGACCTGTGTGTTCTGGGCAGCTGCAGCTGTAGAGGCTTCCCTGAGTCTGCCCGTGCCTAGAACACTGGCTGCCTTGGTGCTCTGACCACAGGTGTGGGCCACACTGATATGCTGTTCACTTCTGTGTGCTGAACTCCAGGTCGTGGGGGAGAAGGCAAGCATTAATTATTGCTTGTTGACTTAGCGCATGCATGCATTCTCAATATCGAGTCTCGGTATAGTTTCAAGGAACTCTGTTAATCCCCCAACCTCTTCCCCCTTCCCCTAAGCCTAAATTTTATGTTATGAAAATCATAGGCGTCTCCACCACATTTTTTTAATTGTCTGTTTTCATCTCTTGAGGTGCTATCCATGGCATGCCTAAACCACCAGCTGAAAGAGGAATAAATTACAAGGGATCCAAGCCACACCCCGTCGAGCCCAGACCTCGCCAGCGAGCCGGCCCTGCACAGCCAGCAGCATGGAGAAGATCAGCGCCTTCTTCAATTCCATCTGGAACACCATCTTAGTCAAGCACCAGGAGGGGCTCTTCAACACCATCTGCCTGGGCATCCTCCTGGGGCTGCCACTGTTGGTGGTCCTCACGCTCATCTTCATCTGCTGCCATTGCTGCTGGAGCCGGCCGGGCCAGGGCAGCCGGCAGCCAGAGGCAAACAAGAAGAAAAAGAAGAAAAAGAAGAAGGATGAAGAAGACCTCTGGATCTCCGCACAGCCCAAGCTCCTGCAGATGGAGAAGAGGCCGTCCCTGCCTGTCTAGGTGTGCAGGAAGCCTCTGAGTCCTCCCTCCAGGGCTGAACCTCTTTCGGACCACTCAGAGGCTGGGAAGCCGAGTTCCTGTAGGGACACAGTCCCATCCACAGTGAACTGCTGACCCGAGGAGCGAGCCTCCAGCTGCACCTTCTCCTGAAGCATGCGGGCGACTCTCAGGCCACTGTTGGCAGCTGCCAGCCCATTGCAGTGCACTTTACTGCACACCCGGGCATGTTTTCCATCCTTTACTGACTTACCCTGGGCACAAACACACAGGAAAACTTATCCATCCAGCCTGATACAGCGCCTGGGTACACACACACACACACACGCTTATCCAGGTGAGAGGTACGTGGGAAGGTGCACTCCGTTCCTCAGATGCCCACTGACTGTGTCCTTCTTACAAAACCGCGCATTGTGCACTGCTGCAAAAACGTCTTGTGGGAGGGCCTAGCCGGATTAAGGCACATGCTGGCAATCCTGTTACCAGGTGAAACCCCTCCGCGCCACGCATCCCACTCGGGTTGGAGGGATGTGCTGTGCTGGTGGTGCTGTACCTCCAAAGCCCGTGGCTAGAAATGCTCACACGTGGACACTGCAACCTGGTACAGTCCCCGCTGTGCTGTGTCCTCATGCAACACCCCTCCTCCCCTTCCCCCTGCAGAGTAGCCTGCAAAGTGCAGAGGGAGGGCTCAAACTTCTCAGAAAGTTCTTTTCTTGCAACTCGTGACAAGGTTCTCGTTCCCACGGAGAGGCACTTCCTGTGGCCCGTGTTCTCGCCCTGCTCCCCGTCACCCCACAAGGTGCCTTTTCCAAGTGCAAACCAAGCATTCTTAGCAGTGACTGCTAGGAAGCCGCCCATGCACACTTGTAGTCGTGACCCTGTGCAGTGCATCACGGAGGGGAGGGGGCAGGCACTGCTGCATTTGAGCAGAGCAGCGCCTGTGTAGGCAGATGTTTCCACAGGGAGGAAGCTGGGACAGTCACACAGAAGCTACTGGAAAGGATTTGCCATGAGTGCAGGGTGTGTGCGGGTGGGAGACAGAAGGAATGCAGTGGAAGGTAGGACGGAACCAGAAGCAAGAGTATTTATTTATTCAAAAGCTCAGGCAAGTGCCTTCAGCACGGTCGGTACTCATGAGTGCGGTTGCCGGTGAGTGTGCGATGTGTGAAGGGTCTGCCCTCAATACCTCAGTGACTCCCCAAGTGACCTTCCCTTGCCATCCATCCACTGTCCGGTGTCAGGCCCAGCAGGACAGGACATGCGGAAGTGAGGGGTGGTTGGCACGTGCACCCCGAGCTCTATGCAGAGCTGCCAACAAGACACAGCGAGTCATGTAGAGCGTCTCCCAACAGGGCTGAGGTTGGGACACCAGCCCGGCTGTATGACGAGCTGGTTGGCATTTGGGCTTTATAGCGACCACTTCGCAAAGCTGGTCTGTGCCCAACTTGGAGGCAGTAGGCACTTCTATTGGTTTGCTGTGAATCCCCCAGGGAGTATCTTGAAATATTTTCCCCCTTGGAAGTGGTTGTGAATGGTGGCAGATCACTGTCTGATGACATAGCTAAGCTAAATGAATAGCAACCAAAAGCCTGAATTCCCTCCTACGGAGTTAATGGGAGGAGGCCTCCTATGGCTCATGTGGGCTACCTGGTACTCAGCCGGCTCCCCAGGTGTCCTGCAGGCCTGTGCAGCATAATGCAAGCCTGCCTGTGCTTACGAGCCAGCCAGGCTCATCCCATCATCCTCAGTGGTCCAAATTCCTTGGGCATCCTTAAAACCCTTAGACCAGAGAAAGAGACACTGTGACTGCCTGTCCTTGTCACCTGGATGGCTTGTGCACACCCAGCTCACATTCCCCCTCATGTGTTTACCCATCATGTCCTCATTCCTTGTTGCTCATCACCAAAAGTTACCCTCCATTCCCCACCGCCCTGTGCCCCTGCAGGGGATGGCTGGGGGTGTGGAGGCCACAGCCAGAACAGCCATCAGATAGAATCCAGAGACTGGACAGTCAGGACCAGGGACCGTACAGGTAACATGGTTTCCATGGCAACTGGTTGCCAGTCTGAATTAAGATAGCACTCAGTTGTCATTGCTGTGGCAAGGCCTCTGTCTCCAGGCCAAGTGTCCCCACTGTCCCCTAATTGGATGGAGTCGCTCTAGCTCCAGGCATAAAACAAGAAACTCAGGCCTCTGAGCCTTTGGCCCAGCAAACCCAATCCCTGAGTGGAGCTTGGTCCCTCCCACCCCGATACCCGGGGAAGCACCCGGCTTGTGACAGCCTCATAAATGGGTAGGTGGGTGTGTGAAAAGAGCCTGGGAACTCCTGCTGTCCTCCCTTGCCATCTGATTCACTCTCCCCTGCTTCCTCTTCTCCCAGCCCTGCCCCAGTTCCGTCACTTTCCCTCTTCCCACTTTCTCTGCGACAGCATAGCCACCACAGGCAGTCCTGGTGGGATCCCAGGACTGGGCCTTGTTTAGTCCGGGGCCAAAAAAGGATTTCTTAAGAGCGGCGTCCTGGCCCAGTACGGGCTGGACTCAGCCAAGCCAGTGCAAAGCCTCATCACCCATGCTCTGCAAATTCGTTTTTGAACTTGCAGGGGCGTTGGCTGAGGGGAGCGCGGTGCAGCGGGAGGCAGAGATGCAGAGGAAGGGCAGCTGTCTTTACCAGGAGAAAGGACATGATCAAAACAGAACAGTATTTGTCAGTATTGTTTTCTGTAAACTTCACAAACAACACATTTATTTCAATAAAAGAGTGGGCGCCTGGCCTCACACCTCCTGACTGTAACTTCCTTAGTGTGAGCTGTCAGCTCTGGCCAGCTCTGTCACTTGGACATGAAGGGTACAGCGGGCCTCAAGAGGCCCGTCCAGCCCTGCTGCCCAGCACCTTCCCCCCAGCACAGAGACCAGGAGCGTGGCCTCGTCATTGTGTTTGCAAAGCTGATGAGTCCCTCCAAGGCACCAGCTGCAGCCAAGCACCATGAGGTCCCTTGACAACACGTAGGGCGTCTCCCCTGCAGGGAGCACAGGCTCAGGGATTCCCACCCCACCCTCCCAAGTGCCCTCTCCCCACTCTGTTTCCCCCTTATTGTTACAGTACAATAGTCCTTTAGCAACAGTCACAAGCCCATCATTCTGCTATTTAAGTGTATCATAACATTGTAGACAATGGCAGAGTCCAGCATCCTATTGTCGAGATATGTTTAACAGTTTCATTGGGGATGCATCTGTACTGCTGAATAAAAGATGGATTCCCACTGTCTTCTCTTACAAGACTTACTTATTTGAAAGAGAGAGAGGTCTTCCGGCAGCTCGTTCATTCCCCAAATGGACGCAGCAGCCAGGTCTGTTGGGGTGAAGCCGGGGGCTCCATTCTGTCTGCTGCCAAGGGTGGCATGGGTTCCAAGCACATGGGCCTTCTGCGGCTGCCTTCCCACGTGCGTGAACACACCTGGGTCAGAAGCAGAGCCGCTGGTGCTCAAGCACCCTGATGCGGAAGGCCGGTATTGCAGGCAGCACTGTGACCAGTGGGGAGTGACAAACACTTAAGAAAAAGCAGACGCGTGTGTTAAATGTGCTGTTGGGAACAGGAGAGCTCAAAAGACTGGAGATGGATAAAGGGGAAGAATTGGAGGTAACACTGCTGTGTATATAACTGGATTCCTTCAGGCTGGAGCAAAATTATTTAGAGACCCCAAATTCCTCTGCAGAAACTGAAACACTACATCCATACCAGTGTGGTACCATTAGCCTGCAATGGCCTGATGTATTCATAAAAATTAAGTCAGGGTCTGGCATTGCGATGCAGTGGGTTAAGCCTCTGCTTGTATTGTCAGCACCCCCCATCAGAGCAACAGTTGAAGTTCTGGCTGCTCTGCTTCCAAACTCACTCCCTGCTGATGTAACCAATAAGGAACAGAAGATGGCCCAAGTTCTTAGGCCCTGCCACCCACGTGGGAGACATGGGTGGAGTTTCCGATTTCTGCCTAGCTCAGCGTTGACCGCAGATGACCGCACTTGGTGAGGGTTTAGGAAGGAAGGGGTTCCTCACTTGAGCACCCCATCTCACCTCTGCCCTTCCCAGGAAGGCGTTTTCTATAGGGCGAATGGATTTCTGGCCCCCTTCCCGTCACCTGTCACACCTGTGACAACCAGAAGAAGTGGCTCTTCACCAGCTGAGTGTCCCCAGGCTGAGCCAAGACCTCAGGGTGTGAACACAGGCTTGAACAATGCATCCAGCCCTTGGCAGCCTCAACTCGCCAGCCAGCACCCTTGCCTGTAACCTCTGCACCATCCCCAAATTCAAAGCCACAGGGTTCAAGGATGGAGATGCCAGCCCTCTGTCACTAGTGGAAAAGAAGCCCCCAAGCACCTCTATGGGCCTTTGTTCAGGAACGGCTGCTCTTCAGGCTGCCCGTTCCATTAACACTGCTGTGTGCCAAGCACACGAGGAGCCAGTGGGGACAAAGTGGCCTTGGAAGTGTTCACACAGCCTGGACATAGAGGACAGATGAGCAAACAGACCATGCCAACATTGCATGCTCATTGCCTCCTTACAGCGGTGCCCCAAGCCTGGCAGAGGGCAGGCTGTGGGGAGATCACCAGGAACTAGCCAGTGATGGGAGGGAAGGCACCATTTACAAGATCTGCAGTATGGGAGTTCCTGTTGAAGCAGCAATACAGGGGGCAGCCTGAAGTGGACTGTCCAGCACCTGAGGGAACAGCCTGAGGTGGACTGTCCGGCACCTGCAGGTCTCTGTGTGGTCTCTAAGTGCTGTATGCTAGAATTTAGGACCAGCACTGTCCCGATCCAAATACCAACTCCAACTCTCCATAATCCTGTGATCTGGGCCCTAAAACGGAGAGCCAATGATAGCTCCAATGTCATGAGGATCAGATGAGTAAACGAAAGACTACACATCGTGCATTGAACACAACGCCTGACATATAACAGCTCGACATGTGCTGGCAGCTAGACGGATACCATGAGAGAGTTGTGTTTCCTGTGTCCGTGGAGAAGACCTTTCTAGAGTTTAGTGATGCAGAGGGACCAGTGGGGTAGGGATTGAAATAACCCGCATTGCTTTCCTTCTCAGTGAAGGGTGTTGCCTGATTTCACCATGCACAGCACTGTCAGGATCTGAACCAAGGCTGTTCCACCTCTGACTCCGCGGCTCACAGCTGAGCCACGCCAGGGCAACACTGCCATCTGGCGGCCAGATCTAGCGAGTTCGACTCCTTTCCGCCTCCCACAGGGCTTTCCTTGGCTCATCCCTTCAGCTGGTTCACTGGTTCCCAAACTGCATGTGCAAGTCTGGGCTTCGTGTGCCGCTCACAAACCTGTCAACCTTAGGACTGCCATGTTTATTTCACGGAGGGGCCGCTTCCGTAACCCCAAGACTTAACTGTCACAGATATTTCTCTGGGGGATGTGTTCTGACATAGCCTTGGTGCCTCTAAAAGCTTCCTCAGCCATGCCAGGCTTCCCTATCGTGGCTGGATCTGGCCACGTTGCCATGGTGCCTCTTCACTCCCAGGAGACCTAGCCTAGAATTATAGCTGTCATGTTCAGTATTACGTCTTCCAGCATCTGCCATGGAACTTGACAACTACTGTATGTTAAATAAATGTGTTGATTGGGGGAAAATAATCACCGAGCCGTTTCATAAAAACATGGTTTCCTGATCCTTCTCTGCCCTTCCGGATGATTCATCAAGTCCAGGATGAAGCCAGACAACCAGCTCTGCTAACAAGCACACTAGGTAAGTGTCGCCGGCCCCCGACCCACGCCTTGACAAACACTGTTGGCGATGCAGTCAAGTTCATTCACAGACACAGTGTATGACACAGCCCCAGCGGATGCACGAGCAGGTGTCACACTAAAGATTCTCTGTGTACTGCGACAGAGAGGCTGGTCGAACTCCTCCTTCCCAGCCTTGTTGACCGTGGAACGTTTCTCTTAGTACATCTGGAGGAACGGGGCTTCTGGGGGGCCTTGTTTGGGAAATGGGGTGTGGGGAGGCTCCTGCCTGCAACTCCATCAGATCACCCAAGGAAACCCTCTTGTGAAATGCACAGACTCTGCCTAACTTCATCAAATGCTCTTTGTCCCTCGCCCCTTCTCTCTCACCCATGCGCAAACCATACCTTTCCCATGTATGCTATCGGTGGAAAATATGTTTTAAACTGGCTATGGGTAGAAGTTCATCAAAGGAAAAAAGAAACAGAAGCAGTTTCAATGAAATCATAGACTAAAAGCCCAAGTCTGCTATCTTACCCTTCCACAGGGCTTTGTCACGTGTAAGGGGAGCTTTCATTACTTCATCCCCACTTTATAAATGAAGGAAATGGGGTCCCAGCCATGGAGGGAGGCCAGCCAACCCCCTAGTTCTGGAATGCAGACCAAGGCTCTAGTCCAGCCTGCCTGTGATTGTTCAGTCTGACCTGGACCCCAGCTGACCTGGTGCTCAGATTTGAACTTGCAGCAGTGCCGCCTCTGCCTTTGAAACGCATTGAACACAGTCCAGTGTCATCCTGTAAGCCTCAACAGTGCCCCACGCCTTCTGAGGATGCCCCCACAGTGAGCCCAGAGGTCATGAAACCTCACTCATCCAATTCTGTTTCCTTATCTTACTCCAGTGGCAAGACTGCAGCATTATTGCTTTGTGTTTTCACCCTGACAAGTGCACTGCCGTTCATCTGTTTTGCAGAACGAACAGGTTTTCGTGGACTAACCTGGGAACCTAGTTTCTGTGTATGACATTCCTGTTAGAACTCAACCTCCCCATAGCAACAACTAGCAGGAGGACTCCAGAAATACATGGAAAACTGGGAACACCTCCCTCACCTTTCTGAAGACCACCACCCTACGCTAGGACTTGGTCTAGGGGCAGAGTTCCTGGCTTACCAGGCAATTCCTCAAGGAATTAGATATTTTTGCAACCGGCAACACTGTTTAAGCGCCACCTGGCATAGGCAGGAAGCTGAGCTGGGCCTCCTGCTGGCTTCCCAGACAATGCTACCCAAGCCTGACAAAGAATGGGGACCACTCAAAGCACCCTCACAGAGGGACTCCCATAGGACAGCACTGCCATCTCCTGGCCAGGCAGAGTATAGCAGGCCACAGGGCTGCCAATCCCCCCTGCTTTCTCAATGACAAGAACCCCATCCTGATGATTTCCACTGTCCTGGTGAAGGCTTTCAGGGAGTGACTGGGAGATTATTTTAGGGGGGAACCTTTCCCAGGAGTATCTCACTGCATACTTGCTTTTCCTTCTGCAAGCAGTGTCTGTTTTCATCTCAGCCAGTCGATATCCTATCAGACAGGACAGCCAGGGCTAGGCAGAGCTGAAGGAGGAGCCTGTAACGCCATCGGGGTCTCCCAGGTGAGTCATTGATGCCTCCCACGGCGACACTGAGAGGGAGCTGTCATCGGGACCAGACCTGGGGCCAGAACACAAACCCTGCTGAACTGGAGGGAGGCGGGCACCGCTCCAACAGCTGAGCCACCACCTCCTCCCTCTCCCAGCAGGAGTCAGCTTAGCTTTCTCCCTGGATCCTTCAGTTTTGCTGGATCCAATTCTCTCTGGGTTCCTGAGAGCTCTGAGTTCAAAACAGAGCAGGCCAATCCTCCGCCTGCAGATCTGGCATCCCACACGGGGGTGGGTTCGTGTGCCAGCTGCTCCACTTTCAATCCAGTTCCCAGATAACGACCGGAGAAAGCAGCTGAGGATGACCCAAGGTCGTAGGGTCCTGCACCTAAAGGCTGAGCTCCCTGCCGCCCACCTGGGAGACCTGAAAGGCTCCTGGCTTCTGGCTCCTGGCTCTGGCCCAACGTAGTCGTCTGGGGAGTGAATCAGCAAATGCAAGATCTCTCTCTCTCTCTCAATTCTTTCAAATAAATAAATATATCTTCACAACACCAACCAGCTCCGCGCTTGGCTGTGAAATGCACTGTCTCCTGCCCTCACAGCAGCCCGCTCCTGCTCCAGGCCGAGAAAGTCCTCACACTCTGAACGGCAAATGCCCCTACACCTGCCCGGAGCAATCCATCGTCTCCCAGCACCTCCGTCAGGCTCCCCCAGGCTCCATCCTGCACTCACACTGACATTTCCGAAACACACAGCTGGGCCAGGCCGTGTCCCTGGAGGCTCACAGCCTCACAGTCCTTCTCCCGGCTGTACTCTCATCCATCCGAGCAGAGCTCCCCCGGGGATGGCTGCCCAACTTCCCCAGGGGCTTTGCAAAGCTGCATTGCGCATGCTCACCAGAGATGCAGAGAAGCTGGGTCCTGGGAGAAGCGGGGAGCAGCGAGCACCTGCAGGCACCTGAGGGGACAGCCACAGTGCTGCCTGCTCGCTCCAGCGGGGCTCCCTGCAGCTCCTCCCCCTCCACTGCGAAGCTTCCTGGTCCCGCCTCAGGCACACCACACTCCACCGGTTCTCCTTCTCAGATGTCCTAGCTGCCTCCAGGCACTCGGACTCCCTAACAGCCTGGGGCCTGTTCTTCTTGGTTCAGATAACACCTTGTCCCTGGACTGCTTTCTCCAGCCCATCAACCAGCATGGGGTCCCATCAACCAGCATGGGGTCCCATCACAGTGGTCATTTCCCCACCACCTGGGGAAATGCCTGATCAAATGCCTGAGGCAGGCAGGTCTAGGCAGAAATGCACCCTGGGCCCCTAGTCGCTGTTCAGGTGGAGATGGGGTGAGGCACCCAGGTTAGGGCTGCAATATGTGGGCAGCCCCCGGGTCTGAGTAACTGCAGAGCTGGTCCCACACAGCCTGGACTGCGGATCAGCACACGCCCAGCTGTGCATTAACCAGCACACTGGAGGAGCACTTAGAGGCTGGCTGTCATGGCCACCATCCCTCACCCCTGGCTGAGTCAGGCCCCATGCAGTGGCATCCACTTGGCCAAGGAAATGCTACTTTGCCACGGAGCCTGCACCTCGGGCAAGTAGACCACATGCAAGCAGGAAGAGAGCCAGACGGAAGGGGAGGCGAGGTGGGGACTGGGGATCGGCAGCTGTACGGAGGGACTTCAGCACAGACGAGGAAGGTGGCTCAGACAAAGCTGCGTTCAGGTCAGAGGGAGCCTGGCAAGCAGGTGTCCGTGCAGACAGCGCCAACTCAGGAGAGCGCCCCACCCCCCGGGTGCCTCCCTCCAGGAGACCCTGTACACAGAGGCAGGAATGTTACATCTGGTTCACTTTGACGGCACCGGTGCACTCCGAGAGCTAGGGAAGGACAGCGCACAGGCTGCGCCGCACAGTGGTTGGCCGGCCGTGTCTGACCTGCTCCCCCTCTGGGTTCCCACTGCCCTTCTTGTCACTCATGCCATCTCTTGCATTCCAAAAGCCATGACGCCATCACCCCAGTCAGAGGCCAAGGCCAACTACATTCCAAGGTCAGGCACAAGCTTGTACCTTTGCTGGTACTCCGGTTAAGTGTAGGATTCAAGTTCACTTCTGCTGGGAGCCGATGGGGAGTGAATAACACACAGCAGGTTTGGTCCATCGAGTGCTTTATTGTTTTTATTTTTGAGTAGAATGTTACGTGACTTCAGAGGTCACTGGCTTTGCTACAGGAACCTCCCAAGGTGATGGGAAATAAGCACAGAGACCTGACCGTGCTGAGCAGCTCAGAAGCCTCCCTCGCCCTCCCCCCCAGGGGTTCCAGGGAAGAGGGGGAGCCCAGGAAGGACAGAGCAGGGGCCTGCGGGTGTGAAGGGAGAGGTGTCTTCTTCAGGGCACAGTCATCAAGAAAGGACAATCACTTTAATGAGTGAGCATTTATTCATGACGTAGGCAGACCTGTGCAGGGGGATACGCAAATGGCCGGAAAGGGGGCAGCTCAAGAACCTTGCACCTGGCCAATTAGCTGAAACTCCACCCTGCTGTGTCTTCCCGGTAAATCAGTCTGGGGGAGGGATGAGGAGAGGTTCCCAGGCTGTTCCTGGACACCCGGAGGGAAGCGGGGTGAGCAGCAGCTGAGGGAATCAGAACAGCTTCTTTCTGGCAGAGCTCTAAGCAGAGAGGTGCGGCCAGTTCTAGAACCGGAGCCAGCTGCCACGTGCTGCCTGGCTTTACCTGAAACCAGTAGCTGTGTCGCTAAAGAAAAGCAGAAGCTCCTGGCAGCTCCAGCTCCTTCTTCCCACACAGCCTGCTGCGGTGATGTTTTCACACAGGCAAACATGCAGGGGGAAGGGAGCTGCAGGAGTTGAAGTTTGGGGAACACAATTTCTTCTGTGGGTTATCAGGGGTCTCAGACACACGGGATGGTGAGTGACCCCCAACTTGTCATGCCCCATTCAGCGCTGCCCACCTGCCCCAGGCTTCCACAGCCCCGACGCCCTGGTCTCGGCTCCTGCGACGGCTGCTCGAAGGAACCCTCAGAACATTCTGCCTCCTCCAGGCGCCAGCTTCTTCCTGCCCTGGCCGCTCTTCCGGCTGTCACTCTTCGGTTTGTAGCCTTGCGGGCGGATTTTCAGCTCCACGTAAGGAATGGAGAACTCATGTCCTTTCCATGGCTCCCAGTTCACCCCCTACATGAAAAAGGTAAACATCAAGAAGAGGCGACACCAGCCCGGCTGGTGGAGGGCAAGGCAGGAGGGTGTGAAGGCTGCAGGTGGGACAAGGGGCCCTCTGCTGGGCAGGCTAGGCCGGGCGGGCTGAGGACCACTCTGGTGCAGGACCATGGGGGCGAGGCTGGAAGATGGGGAAGGGTCCTTCAAGGAAAACGTGGGGTCAAGTTAGCTTGGCCTCACTCTTATCCTTCCCCAAAACTCCAAGTCCAAAATAAACATATTAATTGGCCAATTGTGTAAAATCATTTTCAATTTAGGCTGTTTAGATATTAGCTCTGGGGTAACAAATGGCCTGCTGAAAACTAAATTTCATTTTACGCCTTCTGACTGGTGAGCGCAATAATATTTAATTCACTTAATAACCTTGCAACCTGGCCAATAAAGAGCCCCAGTGACCAATTTTATGTATTTTAATTTGTGAGGTAAATAATAAACAAGAAGCTAAATGCCTTGCAGGCTGCGGAAAGCACATTAACTAGATGAATGTCTTTTATTAGCAAACTTGGGGGCGGTTTAGGGTGTGCAGGCTGCTGGTTTCAGATCTCTGATGACAGGCTTCCATGAGCCAGCCCATGATCGGGGGGCCCCCCTTTCCCTGGCTTCCTTGGGACATTGCGTAGGGATTAGAAGGTCCCAGAGCCTGGTTAGGGTCAAGGGCATCCAAATATTTCTGGACTTTCCATGTGCTAATATCTGTAAGAACACTGAGATGCAGAAAGATCAAGGGACTTTGAGGAGGTTAAGGCCGGACTGAGCAGGAAAATGAGGAAGGCAGACTGCATGAGCTGGCAGGAGAGTGGGGCAAGGGCAGATGCAGATGAATAGGAACCAAGAGGCAATCTTCAAGAAGCTGTGAGGGAGCAGGGTCGAGAATCAGATGACACACAGGGATTGTGGAAGAGGTCACAGTCGACACACAGAGTTTCTGGATTGTTCCAGAAGTCCCATGTGGGATGGGGCTCAGTGACTCTGCCCCGTGCACAGTCCCAAAGGGAGAGGCTGGTGGGAGCCATTGCTCCAGACAGAGCCTGAGTGAGTCAGGGTCACGTGGCGCCATGGCCGCGTCTGACCTAAGGAAAAGACGTTGCTCTCCTGATGACCCAAGGGTTTGAAATAACTGAGGGCCTTCAGAGCATTTCCAGGAAAAAAAGAATCACAATACAGGTTTATGTAGGTGCAGAGCATTGGAAATGCATGCACGTTGTCTTCATGACGCACAGTTTCCACGAACTTTGTGAAGCCTGAGTTGAACCCGGAGGTTACACAGAGGTCTGCTGATTAAATGCTTGCCTATCCCCACAACCGTAGGCTAAAGCCCCAACTCAGCTGAGATCTTTGGGGGAAATTACATTCAGGTGACAGCGCAGCGTGGGTCCCTCCCCAGGGGATTAGGTCCTCAGAACAGGAGGACACTGCAGGAAGGCATCTGTCTGCAAGCCAGGGCAGGTGTCCCCACCAAACACTGGATCTACACACTCCGATCTCGGAGTCCACAGCATCCAGATTTCTGTTGTTCGAGCAGGCTGAGCTAACACTGTGTGTGTGTGTGTGTGTGTGTGTGTGTGTGTGTGTGTGTGTGTGTGTTTGTAAACTCTGCTGGACAAGATGACGGCATGTGGCTTACATCACAGGTCGCTAGATGACAGTGGCAGCCCAAGTTTCCCATGCCCCTGGCATTCCAGAAGTGAACAGCACTGGGACAGAAACATAGATGCAGAGTGGGCAGGGCCAGGGCCTCAAGCTGGAGGGTTATGGAGGAGACTGGCAGCCGGGGAAGGAGACGGGTCCCCAAACCAGCCAGCAAGGTGTTCTTTTGTGAGTTAAAGGTGGGCAGAGCCTGACACAGAAATGCATGCCCCCCGCTCCCCATCCCGTCACCTACCTCACTGTGCTTGGACTCCCCGTATTTGCCATTGGGGTTGGCCAAGTGGCAGTTCTTGTACCACCAGCCGCCATGATGAGTCAGGGCACAGTTGCTGAGGGCAATATCATTGTCTTTGTCAAAAGTTGTAAACTTCCATCCATTGTGGTAAGAAAGAGCGTCCCCTGCAGGAGAGAAGAGAGCAGGCAGGAGCCCAGGTGAAGTCAGTCCCTGAGGCTGAAAGAGGGCCTGGTGTGAAAATACCCAGGACCCTGTGAGCCATGTGTCGACCCCAGAGAGTCGCATGCTAAATACCCAAAACGGACTGTGTGTCTGTCCCCACCATCAATGACCGCCCCTCTCCTGTGTCCCCAAAACTGCCAAGCACCAGAATCTGAAGCCTCTGAATCCTGACTGCCATCCCATTGTGCCCTCTGCCTGCAGGGCCCTCACCTACCCCCTCTTTCCCTGCTGGAATGGCTGACATCAAGGCCCCCTCTTGTCTCCGGCCCAGTCCACATAACAGCTTTCTGTCTGGCTTCTGGACTGCGAGCTCCTCTGAAGCCTAGATGTCCATTCTCACCATCTGGGGCCCTCACGCCCCTCTCCCTATCATGGGGAGGTGGTCACTCCTGTTCCTTTAAGGCCTGTTGCTTACCATATCCTGTGCACAACCTCACACCCACCAAGCACCCTCCACGTGTGCAGCTGGGCAAGCCTACCTTCCATCGGCTTCCTCTCTTGGCTCTCCACCTCTCCAAGCCTAACTCAGCCCTCCTCCCCTGAAAGGTTTGTCTCAGCAACCCTTCATCACCTTCCCCCCAACACACACACACCCCTGAACTGGTAGAACTGACTCATGCAGTTAATGCTTTGCCACATCCTTCTGGAGTCCACTTTGGTTTTACTTACAGGCCACCCATTTCCCTTCCACACCTGCCATCCTCCTATCACCCTACCTTTTGCTTCAGCTCATAAGGGTCCCTACCATCACAAGCTCAGCCAGTTCCACTCCAGCACTAGCGTTGTCTAACCTTGCACCTACCCTCTGAGTGTACCGGTCCCTCTGACTCTCCCGGCACATCTACGGGGTGCTCCTGTCCCTTGAGAGACTGACCTCACAGAGTCAGAGTCCAACACCTGTCCACAAACCAGAGACCAGGACTCAAACCCTGGCCCAGGGTATCTGTGGGACCCCAATCCGCCTTCCCTCTTTCTTCCTTCACTTTTAAAATTAATTTGAGAGGAAAAAGAAATACCTCCTCTCTGCTGATTCGCGCTTCAAAGGCATGCGACAGCTTGGACCAGGTCACAGTTCGTAGCCAGAACTCCCTCTGGCCCCTTCAGATGGGTATCTGTTAGAGACCCAAGTACCTGAGCTGCACCTGCCCTCTCCCAGATGCAAACAGAAGTCTAAAATGGAAAGTAGACCCAGAACTGAAATCCAAGCATACTGGCATGCAATGTGATTGTCATACCCACGACTGCGCCATTGCTGGCAGTCTACAACCAGTCGTAGGGGTCCCCAGAGGAGTGGCAGCATTAGAAACGCTCAACCACAGACACAAACCGGAACCTGTGGGGTGACAACCTTACAACCTGTGCTCTCACAATCCCTGCAAATGATTCTGTTTAAAGTAGGGAACCTCTAGCTTTCAGCCTCATTCATTTCTTTGTCCTGGGAATAATAATTGAGGATAAGCACAGGCAAGGCCCTGGGAAGCAACGATGGAGAGGCCATTACTCAAAAACACTGCTGGGTTGTGTGGGCATCCCACCTGGATGCCGGTTCATATCCTGACTGCTACACTTCCAATTCAGCTCTCTGCTAACACTCCTGGGAAGAAAGCAGAAGATTGCCCTAATGCCCGAAGCCCTACAACCTATGTGGGAGCCCTGGGTGGAGTTCCCAGCTCCTGGCTTCAGACTGGCCCAGTCCAAGTTGTTGTGGCCATTTGGGAGTAAGCCACCAGATGGAAGATGCTGATCTCTCTCTCTCTCTCACTGACTTGAAAATAAAATTAAAATAAATAAAAAGCAAAGGATTCGTGATGTGCTGTACAAAGGGAAGGTTGAATTGGCCCCTCTAACGCCACAGCTCACACAGTGGTTCCTTTAAGAAGAGCTTGCCGCGGTGGCCACTGTTGCAACAAACAACTGTGCCCCTAGTGTTTTCTAGTCAGGCATCCTGGACACAGTTGCTCCTCCCCTTGGCTTCCTCAGCTAGAACATTCCCTTAGTCACAGGACTTTAATGAGCATGACTTGCCTCAATACATATGATTTCAGAGCTGCTTTGTAAGAAGCTTTTCTCAGGAGAACGTTTATGGCTCTCCAGCCTTAGGCACTGGTTAATGTGGTGCAAGCACGAGACAGGCTTTCCCTGCCGGTGGATATTGTACCTTCTGGAGACTCAAGCCATGCTCATATTCAGAGTGTAGACAGTGGGAGTACTGATGAATCAGAAAGCGGCCTTGCTCTAAGGCGTGGTTAGCAGCTGACATATGAAGCTTATCTCCTGGAATAGGGTCAAGGAGCCAAGCCAATGTAGCTTAGACTCAAGGCTTTGAGTGCAAGAAATGTTAGCCCATGAGAGGGCTGACCAGAACAAGCTCAGAGTCAATATCTGTCTCATCAAAACATCACTCGGAGACCTACTGCGCTCCAACACTTCATGGGACAGGAAAGAAGATGCCAACAGCTGTACCACCTGGGACTAGAAGAAGCCATTATCCATTATCATATCCCTCAGAAGACACAGTTGGTTGTTCGGACGTTCAGTGTCTTTTGCCTTAGGAATCAGGGGTGGGCAAGTAAAAAAGGAGTTTGTGCCATTCCTAGCTTTCCCTTTTGTCCAGGGACCTAAGATGTTTTTGCTTCTCAAAAGCCAGAATTGAAAAACCCACTTCAGAACAAAGAAGGCATTAGCATTTGGAGCAGAGCAATTCCTCATCGTGTGTATTGAGCATCCCTGGCCCAGCCCGCTAAACGCTAGTGCAGGTTCCTGTCATGGTCCCAGTTCTCCAAGGCTGCAGTGGTACCACCAGATTCTGTCAGGAGGGACTTGAAATCAGCTGGAACTGATTGATCAGGCCATGGAACTCACTGCATCATACTGAACATGACTAGGTCTTCTCTTTGATTGCTAAATAACTGAGCGGCATCTTGAATCGAGAGCCCCCAGGAGCCTCGTTGCTCTGCTGGAAGACTCAGAAACTAGCCCCACGCCATGACTTTGCTGGGATATTCTTGGTGGCTTCAGTGGAACCCAGTGGAGAGGCTGAGTGGGGATGAGTCTGAAAGCACACGTTCCCCAGCAGGGCTGCACATCTCTCCAGTCTAATCAACTCTAAGGAAGACAGGAACTGGGGAGAGGTGACGCATACAGACACAAACGGCAAGTTCACCTTCCCCTGAGCACAAGTAGCCGGAAGCTTCCTGGATTTTTAAAACCCTCCTGGTGGACCAATCGGCCTGTATAAGGGAAGTTACAACTCCACTAATCCTATCACAATCCTTCAGAATGTGAAAGCAGAATGCTGCCACACACGGGAAGACTACATTGCTGACTTCATGCTCTGTGATCTGAAAGTCTCCCAAGGTTCCTACAGTAGGCGTTCTCTATTGACCAGCACTGTTGGCCTGAACAACCTCAGAACAGAAATTATTCCCTGATCACAGTTAAAATGCAAATAGAAGTGGGAGGGGCCTCACACTAATCTAGGAGCTTGATGCCCCGCCCCATGTCCCGACTCACTTTAGCACTTGGTCAGTTCCTTTCCTGGATTGTGTTAAACCAAGCCTCAGAAAATGCAAATTTGCATGATTGAGAAAAGGGGAGGGAGTGGTTGAGAGTGGGTACCTAAGTGAGGTCCTCAGGCAGGAGGCCAATGAGGACCACTGTGTCTCAGAAAGGGACATAGAGGCAAGAGTCAACACCCAACTTCAGCTCTTGTCTGGGAAGAGGCTCAGCCAAGACTGAGACCCTGCAACTTGAGAAATAAAGGCTGAGCTGTCTCCTGAGCATGGTCAAGAATAGAGACAGGGTGCTGGCAGCAAAAGCTTTGACCACACGAGCTCCTTGTAGGCTGAGGGGTAGGAGGAGGCCCCAGAGTCCCAGACAGACTCGATTGTGTCTCTTGCAAAGGGTTGGGAGAGCTGGAATAAGCCATCCAGATTGTAGTCTGGTCTTATTTAGAGAAGAGGGTGGAGAGAGTAGTAGGCTGCAAGATTATTCCTACCAAACAGCATCTTTAAATTACTTACGACTGTATTATTATGATTATTTGAATGATTCATTGACATGATCTTAAATGTGTATCCCAACTGTACTTTAATTGCCTGACTTTTACTTTGGATCTTACACTTACAGCGGCTGTAGTGCAGCCTGATTCCAGCTGAGAAGACCTGGGAGCTCCAAGGAAGGAAGGGCCGGGGCCAGCGCCATCCCAGTCTCTTCTGAATGCAGCGCCTTCCTTCCAAAAAGGGTCATTTTTCCTCACAACTTGGAATTCTTGGACAAGGTTCCTCTGTTTGTGCCCTAATTCTTTATACCTTGGTAGGTGGCCAGCCATCGCACTCTGTCCCCTCCCATATCACCATACTACTGAATTCACCCCTTCAATGGTCCCTAGAATATGTGAGACTTGGGGATTCCTATTTAAAATATAAATATCCACAAATTACACAGGAAAGTCTTTGTTTGATTTTGTGAACCAACGTACCTTGTGCTAGACACTGAAAAACAAGACCAAAGGCAAAAACTCATGTGACCTTTTTTTTTAATGCCTGGCTCAATTTTATCTGGCAAGTTCTTTTTCTTATGTATCTATTTGAGAGACCGTGGAATAGAAAAATAGACAGCCATGAACCCAGCACAGTAGCCTAATGGCTCAAGTCCTCGCATTACATATGCCAGGATCCCATATAGGCGCTGTTCATGTCCCAGCTGCTCCACTTTCCTTCTAGCTCTTTGCTCATGACCTAGGAAAGCAATCAAGGGCAGCCCAAAGCCTTGGGACCCTGCGCCCATGTGGGAGACCCTGAAGAAACCCCTGGCTCCTGGCCTTGACTCAGTTCAGCTCCAGCTGCTGTGGCTACAGGGGGTGGGGGGATGAATCAATGAATGGAAGATCTTTCTCTATATCTTCTTTCTATAAATCTGACTTCCAAATAAAAATAAATAAATCTTTAACAACAACAACAGCAACAAAAATTAGCCAGTCAGTCAGCCAGCCAGCCTGCCAGTGCAGGTTCGTTTCCCAAATGCCCAACACCAGCCAGAACTGGGCAGTTGAAGCTCAGGGCAGGCCTTCCACAATGGGTAGCAGCCATCGTTATGTCTCCCAGGGTCTACATTAGCGGGAAACTAGAATCCAATGCCAGAGTCAGAAACCCTAACATGGGATGCAGGCATCCTAACAGGCCACATACCCAGCCAGAATTTTCAAAATAAGATGATAAAATTTAAAGATTTTAAAAAGTGTTACATTCACAATTTGCCAGATCAAGACCCATAACCTAGAGATTCTTTTCAAGTGTCTGCCACCAGGGCCCATGAGTGAGTAACTCTGAGAACTTAATAAGTCTAAGAATGATTTCCCTCTTCTGTCCAGTCCTTGCTCAGCCCTAGACGACCCCAGGTCTGAAGAGCTCCTGCCTGGCTGGCGGCCATGCGTGTCCTCTGTTTTGAGATCCCCTACCCCAGCTACTTACTCTTCATTCTCTTCAGCACTTTGCTTTGCTTATCACTTAGGTATCTCTCTGCAAAAGTTACCTTATAGTTCATTCACCTGCTTATGCATGACTCTAAAGAAAGAGACAGTGTCTTCATGTAGCCAGTCAATGTGCCTGCTGACACATTCCTACGCTGATACCAAAGTCAAAAATAGACAAAAGGCAGGACCAGTGGGCAGCTTTGTGGCTAGCCACTGGTTGCAACTCTTGCATCCTGTATTGAAGTGCTAATTCATGCCCCAGTCCTGCTTCAGATCCAGCTCCCTGCTAACACATCTGGAAAAGCAATAAAAGATGGTTCAAATGTTTGGGCCTTTGTCAACCACATAGGAGATCAGAATGGAGTTGCAGGCTCCTGGCTCTGGCCTGGTCCAGCCCCAGCCATTAAAAAAAAAAAAAAAAAAAAAATCTTCAAGAAAGGGGCCAGCGTAGTGGCATAGTAAGCTAAGCCTCCACCTCTGGAGATGGTATTCCACATGGACGCCAGTTCATGTCCTGGCTGTGCCACTTCCAATCCAGCTCCCTGTTAATGATCTGAGAAAGTAGCAGAGGATGGACCAAGTCCTTGAGACCCTGCACCTTCATGGGAGACCGGGAAGAAGCTCCTGCCTCAGTTCAACTGTGATTGGCTTAGCTCCATTTGGGAAGTGAACCAGAGGATGGAAAATCTCTCTGTGTCTCTCCTTCTCTCTCTGTAAATCTGCTTTTCAGATAAAACTAAAATAAATCTTAAAAAAAGAAAGAGCCAAAAGTCAACAATAGACTTATATGTTATTGTTTAAAATGTATAAAGGCTTTAAAATAATAGTATTAAAACAACAACCATACCTTCTCCTCCAATTGTCACTGTAATCATTCTGGTATTGTGGTCACGCTGCTTTATTTTGTTCTTTTTCTTCACAACTGAACATACCATTAACTGGTTTCAAGCCAATAAGCAGCTAACTGGGGCTAAGGAGCTCCAGTGCTGGACTGAACTGCTCACTGCTGTGTTGCTGGTGTTGCAATCAGTTCATGAGACCTATACTTCCTGTTGTTAAAATCCACACTTTCTTTGCTCTGGCTTTATTTATAGCAACATACAGAGTAAGGAATAACACACACATACATATCGTCAAGTGGGCAACAATGACAGCTGTCCTCTGAAGCCAAATGAGAGATGTGCAGGTGCCAAGACCATTCATAATTCTGACTCTTCAGCTAAAACGCTGGAACATCAGCTGGCATTGGGGCAGGACGGGGGCTGGAGGGGACCACAAGAGGATGATTGTACCTGGCAGAGGTGCAGGGCCTAAGTTCAGTATTATAGTAGTCAAGGACTACTTACACTTGATCTTAGCCAAAAGGCTGAGAAGCAAAGAGGACTACTTTCAATAGCTCATTCATAGAAAGTAGGGCTTGATTGTCACTGACGACAGTTCACCTCCACGCCCAGACCCAAGGCACATGGAAAACCAATCCTCAGACCACAGAACAGGGGACCCTCACAGCACCGACACAACTGCTTACCTGCTGTGCCGTTGTACTTGCCAACTGTCAGCTTGTAGCGCTCCTTGCTGGAGCCCACTTGGAAGAAGTCATACACGGCGTAGGCAGATTCATTGAACGTCTCCAAGTCAACTCGCACCTCATACCGGGTCGGGGTGGCAGTGGTGAGATTGTGCAGCTTGTCCAGACCTGAAAACAAGGAATGGAATCCCAATAGCCGGACAACCAAGGTGGGAGCCCTCAGCATGAGCACCTGACACTTTCAGACCTGAACGCTGGCTTAGCCTTTCCCTTCGCTGCTAGCACAGGGCCTTCCCAATGCTTTCTCTTCTCCATTGGTCCCATCCGTCAGAGACAGAGGCAGCTCTAGTTACCACCTGCTCATCTCACCTCCCCATCTCAGATCTCCAAAGCACAGGCAGCAGCTACCCTGTCAGACATGAGTATCCAGATCATGGCCTTTTAATTATTCATTTCCCAGCTGATGCTTTTGGCTGTCTCGCTCTCTGTGAACATCTGCTCCAGAAGTCAGCAGAGAGAAAGGGTGGAATGCCATCATGCCTGGCTTTATTAGCAGAATTGCAGGGATTATTAGAGTGTCCTCCAATAACAGCCCAGAGTACCAAAACCAGCTGCCTCCTAGTGTGTTTTCTAAGAAATTCAGGCTCCAAGGAGGCTAGACGCAGCTCAGAAATGACCCAACAGTCTCTCTCACGAGCCCATTCCACAGGAGAGCCTTCCCACCAACACCCTGTCAGGAGAGCCCCCTCTGAGTCCCTGTATGTGGAAAGCTGACCAGCTCATCAAGGGGGTGCTCACCCCTCATTATCTAGCCCCCCGGGATCCTCAGAGATCATACCAATCCAAAACTCCTGCATGGGGTCCCCAAAGCCTTCCACGTAGCTCCGCCAACGCTTGAAGAAATCCAGCTGCCCTGTGTTCCGCCTCTGGAAGACCTGGGGAGAGAGAAGCACCCTTTCACTCTGACACTAAACAGACATAACAGAGTGGGCCAATCTGTACTTTCCAAGGTGCTGCTGGAGACAAGGGGGAGCTACAAACCCCTAGAGGACTGACTTCCTCCAGGGAGCAAGTACTGACTTCCTCCAGGGAGCACGTCTCTTCCTCTCTCAGAAAGTATCTTTATTTGTCAGCAGTCTTGCTATATTAGTTATATCATCTTTTAAAAAAGATTTATTTATTTGAAAGACAGAGTGACAGAGAGAAAGACAAGGGAGGGCCCATCTGCTGGGTCATTCCCCAAATGATTGCAACAACGGGCAGGGTCAAGATCAGGAGCACAGAACCCCACCTGGGCTCCCCACCTGGGCTCCCCACTTCTGTGCAGAAGCCCAGGCCCTAGGTCCGTCTTCTGCTGCTTTCCTGGCCACACTAGCAGAGAGCTGGATTGGAACTGAGCAAATGGAACTGAAACTGCCACTCCAATAAGAAATGTTGGAGTTGCAAGTAGGCCTAACTTGTGCCAAAATGTTGGCCCCAGCTTATACGATCTTAATGCGCGTTCCTTACGTGCCTAGTTAGTTTGTTAGAAATTGAAATATTTCAACAAAGAGCAGAGAATCTTCCTACACTCAAGAAATTTCACTCCTAGAACAAGAAGAGCCTTGGGGATATGACAATGTGGCTGCAACTGCAAGATTATGCAGGGCAGAGCATGCCGGACTACAGCTAACTCTTACCCACAAACTTCAGCATCTATTCAGCTCAGTGGAGCCACGCTACACTTACATATTGTCTTTTCCTCAGTCTGTGGATGGGAATTTAGTTTAATTCCCCTGTTCGTATGCAGCAATTATTTTAATAATTACAAAAAGTTCTCCCAACAAATATTTATTGAACATCTACTTATGTAGTAAGCATGACGCAAGACAATGTTACAAAATGAACGAACCAGCCATGAATTAAATATTCAAACAGATAAAGAAGCCATTAAAACTGTGGTGAGAGTTGTGATGGAATAGTATAATAGGGGGTGAGACTACAGAATGAGAAGTCCTGACCGAGGAACCAGGAAAGCTCCTCTCCAAAGTGGCTGAGTGTTGTGGGATGTATGAAAGCTCATGCTAGAGGATGGGAGGACAGGAGGTTGGAGCTGTTATGAGCAGATTAGAAAGCAATGGGAAGGGAGGTTAGAAACATGGGCAGGGAACAGTCCTCATGGGACTTTAATGGATATTGTTGAAGAGCCTGACTTATTGTAAAAGCAATGAAGTTTATTGGAGTGTTTTAAGCAGGAAATGCAATATCATGTTGACATCTTGATCAGATCTCTCTAGCTCCAGCATAGAGAATGCACTGGCCCTGGACAAAAGTGAAAGACAAACGATTTATTAGTAGACCACTGAGGAGTAACAGTGATAGAGGACAGTCACCTGGCCAGACACGAGTAGACAAAGATAAAATTGCTGTGGTGATAGACAAAATGTAGAACTAGAAGAGGAGGAAGTCAAGAATAATTCATATGGTTTGGGTGTGAAGAACAGATTATTTTCATGCAACTGGTATCTGAGATGAGGGATTCCGAACTAGGACGGCTTTTGGAAGAGTATGATGAGCCCACATGTGCAGGTGGTGAGGATGAGTTAGTTCCAAGGCATCCTAGGCAGTGAAGATGAATGCTGAGTTCCAGGCTAGACTTCGTATAGAGTGAGTGGGTCTGAGACACTGTTGGGAGATCACAGACCCCTTTCACATTCCTCTTCCCTGGAACTCAGGAAGACTGCCTTTTTCAGCCTCTCTTGCACAAAGTTGGAGCCGTTTGACTATTGTCAGCCAAACGCTGTGAGTGAAAGCAGAGGGCCCAGGGGCCCTCCACACTCTTTTTCTTCCAGGACCATGGAGAAGGCCACACATTGGGATGGCAGAGCCACAGGATAGAAACATCTTGAATCCTAGCAGTGGCCATTCAGTCTACAAAAGACAATGCAAGCAAAAAAAAAAAATCCCTGGAATTTGAGATTGGTTTATTACTGCAGTAGAACCCACTCCATGCCAATAGACAGCTGCTGTTGTAAAGAGGACCAATGGAAGCCATGAGAAAGGTTGAGAACACCTGGCAAGAAAAAAAGATCAGAGACAAGAAAATGGTCTAACCTCAAGCTTTGGGAACCTCCAATACAGAACAACCACATCAAGAAGGATGAGGTCGAGCCCCACGTGATAGCCTAGTGGTTAAAGTCTTCACCTTGCATGCACCGAGACCCCATATGGGCACTGGTTCTAATTCTGGTGGCCCCACTTCCTATCCAGCTGCCTGCTTGTGGCTGGGAAAACAGTCAAGGATGGCCCAAAGCCTTGGGGTCTGAAAGAAGCTCCAGGCTCCTGGCTTCAGTTTGACTCCAGCCATTGCAGCCACTTGGGGAGTGAGTCAACAGATGGAAGATCTTCCTCTCTGTCTCTCCTCCTCTCTGTATATCCAACTTTTCAGTAAAAAATGTAGTAAATTTTTAAAAAATAATTTAAAACATAAAAAATAAAGGATGAGCTCATTACAGACAGAAGAGGAGCAACCATAAATGTAAAAGGAACATAAAAACTGTGAAATCACCAAATCCACAGGGAAAAGGAGGGACAGTGATGCAAGGAAGGGCGACCAGACATGAGGTCACAACTGCTCCTCGAATTTAGGAACCTGGACATCACCAGTGACCCTGTCAGGGATTCTGCTCATGAGAGGTGTGTGCAGAAGGCAGCTCAGAACAAGCTTGAGATGAGTGGGAAGTGAGAACTGGAGACAGAACTGGGTACAATTTCAAAGGCATATAAGCTGTGCTTTCTTTCCAAAACTTTCTCAATTTGAAGAAGGAAGGCAGTTCCAGTCAGAGTAAATTGGATTCCTTAATACGCAGTAAATTTGAAAAGCATCCAAAAGCTAAACACACCTGTGTACACTGTTGGAATTTGTGATGCATATAACCCTGCAAAACCTTGAGAGTGAAGCCCAATGTCATGGCAGCTAACTCAGCAGACACCTGCTTGCCAGAGGCTCTGCCCCTTTGCCTTAGCATCTATTCAAAGAGAGAAGCCCCAACACAAAATCTAGTCTCCCTCATTTCCACTTGGCAGCAGGTGCCTTGAAGTATAACACATCATCTTGAGTTCAGTAACATAAACCACCTGGTATTTATGCCTTCTTTACACTTTTTTCCCTGGAAAGAGGCAGGGAGGGAGGAAAGAACAGGTGACCCAGATACAATGCTCAGAGTTCACCAGGCACTGCTTCCAGGACTCCAGGCCAGGTCAGTTGGCCCAAAGCTGCTGAACTAAGAAGGGTAAAGTTGTACAGGCTTTCCCTACAGGGGGTGTTGAATCCTAGTCCCCATTTCCGAGCCTTAGCCCCTGCAGAGCAAAACAGGAGCAGAGGTGAGGAAGAGGCAACTTGCTGGCAGCACCCAGTGAGGTGTTGTGTGCAAAAATGCTGTTTGCGGGGCAAAGAGCTGCAGAACGCAATGCAGCAAACGATGACACGCTTCCTCGTCACTGCTCTGCTCTGCCAGCCTTCTTCAAACACACAACTTTTAAAATTGACCTGTTCCTCTACTGGCTTCATTTCTTCATCTTCATTTGTTAACTCACTTTTGTGATTTTAATCTTTTGAGCACCCGCTGTGTGTTGGCTCTGGGGCAGGTATATATGATGCCTCTTGAGAAATGTGAACATCCAGACAAGCAAACAACCGGGATCACATAGCTACTCTTCCGCAGCTGATGGAAGGGTCACACATACGACCTTCATGCAGGCAGAATGTAGGAAGATGACTTTGGGAAAACAACATGACATTTCCTGAAACTGAGAATTTGTTGGTTTCCCAGCAAGACGCCTGTTTTTATTTCTTTTCTGAGACTCTGTGTCACAGCCAGTACCATCCTAGGCAGATGTGACACCAGCATTTGTTTTCATGAAGATTGTGTCAAATTATAACTACAGGGTCAACTTCAATGCTTCCACCCTAGATGAGACACATGACAAAGATGCTGGTCTCCATCTCCAGCCAAAGATCAGAGCACCCACACTTGGCAGGAGTTTTGCTTCTGATTTCACGTAGATGAGGATTTCAGCTTAGCCAAGAAGCTTCAAAACTGATAGTGACGTCGGCTTTAAACTGACTAGATGCGTGTTTGACCACTTAGTTAACTTGGACAAGCTCCAGCTGTCACATTAGGATATTACCAGCCCCTTCTGCAAAGTCACTGATCATAGTAAGCTGCAGGGCTTCTAGGTCAGAGTCTGGCACATGTACATCAGCTATTATCATCTCAGTAAAGGCTACTTTGCATTTCACTATACCAGATTCCAAGTGAACTGACCCCCTGGGATGGTCAGGGAGCCATCCATGGCTCACCCAGAACCACATCTGCTCCCATGCTAATGGGTCAAGATAGCTAGCAAGCTTTGCTCAGGAGTGACAAAGGTCCCTAATGAGTATACCTTGGGGAAGAAAGATGTATTTATGTCTGGATAATGACATTCAGAGATGCCATTACACACAAGAACTTACTCAGTGTCCTGAATGACTACATCAAGGAGGGAAAAGTCCAATTGCATCTAAGCACCTATGGAAAGCACCACTAATGCAGTCCTTACAACTTTGGAGACTGATGACAAAGACAGAAATATCTGAGACACGTGAGTGCTCTGTGATGTTCTTTCCGGCTTCCTGCCAGCAGCCTCAGCTACCTCGGGGCAGAGTTCTTCTGGCCTGTTCATCAAATTGAGTTTCTGCTGCCTGGGACAGAGGAAGAAAAAAATTCCTTAAAAGGATGTTAAAAGCTCAGTCAGAAAAGGAGCGATGTGCTATAGGTCATCCTTCAGTGATGGGAGGATCCAAAACCATGAAAACCAAACGCTTCAAACCATGGAAACTGAACCCTTCAAACCATGGAAACCGACAGAAAAATATTTGGTAGAGAAAAGTGGATGTTTAGTCTAGTGGTTAAGACACCAAAGCCTGCATCAGAGTGTCAGGGCCTTGGGTCCCAGATCTGATTCCTGATTCCACCTTCCTGCCAGTGTGGACAGTTGCCAGCAGCAAGCAGGTAACTATTACTCAAGCAGCTGGGTGCCTGTGCCTCCCACATGGGAAACACAGTTGAAGCCCTGGCGTTTGACACCAGTTATAGATAGATAGATAGATAGATAGATACTCTTATATAATATGCTTATACATTAAAATACACATCAAACATACACCTGTATTTAAATATATTTATAAATATGTACAAATTATATGAAACAAATTATAGATACTTTATATAATTTATATATAAAATAAGCACACACACACACACACACAAATATATGTATGTATTCTGCTGAACCTGAGTGCAGTCCGAAGTGTTCAAGATTCCACATGACTTTACATTGTCCCAGTTTATGCATTACCACCACAAGTCTAGATCAGAAAACAGGACTTGGGGTGGGGTCAGCAGCTGGTGTTAGTTAGAATGCACAGTGGATTGTAGTTTCTAGAACTGACCTCTGAGCAATGGTTAGTTGTGTGGTTAGGATATGAAAAAGTTGTTCCTTGAGGTCGGGGACTGAGCCTGGTTCACGGCTGAATCTCAAATGCCTAACACATGGTAAGCACTCGATAAGTACTGTGTACCGAATCTTGAGTTTCCCGGGTACACAGATTGACAGATTTCTTTCTAAAGGTTGTTCTTGACATATGTCACTATCCCAGTGTGAGCTGGCTTTCAAAAATGCCATAGCAAGCAGTCCAAACATCCTGCCAATGGTCACTTGCAGGCACAAAGGCAAGAAACTGGGCTTGGGGTCTACGGTGACAGAAATCCGAGTTACTGAAAAGCAGCAGGTACAGCCCTACGGTCTGGTCAGGTGGAAGATCTCCCTTGAAACACTGTACTCTGTTCTGTTATAAATCAACCAGGAATTCCCCTCCCCCAGTCCAATTACTGCCTTTCAGCCATCAAGGCTGCTGTGCAGATAATAAGCTTTCTCCAAAGCTGCTCATCAGAAGGTATCATTTTATCCATGGCTGCTCAAGTGTGTCTGGTTTCCCAGGCCTCGAAGCAAGCGTGTAAACGAATGCAGTCTGAACTCTGTGAGATCAGGCTTCCTCCTTGCCACCACCAGCTGGGAAGGCACAGCAGGTGAAGGCTGCATGCTGGCTTGGGGCAGCGAGAGCCTCCAGCAGTTCAGGCCCAGGAAGCAGAGGGCTAAGGGGAAGATGAGGATTGAATTGTGACCTGAAGGGCAGCTTATCATATAGCTGAATCAGGTAGATGCAATCAAAGAGGGTGTCATGCAGTTTAAGCCAACAATGGCCCAAGAGAATAAGACCTCCACACTGAAGAAAAATTGCCCAAGTTCCCTTCTTCCAGGCTTTGGTCTTTCAAATCAAAGTCCCAAATGTGTAGTTGCTGTACTCTGGAGCCAAGGTGCTGAAGCTGGACAACCGGCTCCAACTCAAAGGATTGGGTTCACAAAAAAAGGTAATCTTTTGGATAACCTGAGATGACCTATTGGGAAGACAAATGAGTCACAACACTGGATCCCTGAAAACTTGTTATGGTTTTGTAATTAACCTACATAGCCTGTCAGCCTCCTTTTTCCTACCTATAAGACAGCAATGTGTGAGGGTCAAGTTGATGAAAGTGACTTGTAGAGGCTAGAGCAGAGGCGCTACGTTAGCTGCAGCCAAATCCACAAGCTTCCCTAGCTAGCAGCTTGAGTTTATGCAAGTCTGCTCCATGACAGTTATGTAGGAGGCTCTGTTCTCACAGTAGGTTGAGATCCGCCTAGAAATAACTAAACCATCACAGTTTCCCTACACCCCCAGAAAAAGTAGAAATAGAGCACCCCCTCCCCCCAAGCACTCCACAGACCAGTCAAGGCTGACAAGGCACAGCACAGGGCCTCCCGGGGACTCTGCATGACTCACTATCCAGCCGCCTCCATCTGTCTCCATGTCGCAGTACACCTGCATGGGCTGTTTGGGGTCACTGTTGAGGTAGATGGTGTACAGGCCACTGGAAGCATTGCTGTTCTGCTGAACCTGAGTGCAGTCCGAAGGGTGTGGGAAGACGGGTTTAACTGGGAGCCAAGCAGATGGACAGCACGTTAGAAGAGCGGGAGTAGTTTTGGGAAACCATTGCATAACCTCCTATTAGTTTGCTTCTTCCAATTCTTTACTCATGTCTTCAAGTCTTGCTCACTCTACTTTCCTCAGACTCTCTAAATGCACCAGAATTCAGATCAGGTTCACATTATTTCCTCCCCTAAGACAACTCCCCCACAAAAAAACATCATTATATTCCCCGCACCACCCCATCCCCACTTAATCTCTCCATTGTGATGTGGCCTTCTGTTGAACCCAAGAGCCCATTTTCACGTCTCCCTGTGGAGAAAAATCCCTAACTATAAACACACTTGCAGATCCCAGAACACCTTGCCTGGTCTCTCCCACGTGTGCCATCTATTACACCATTATTCTGAGAGCAGGATCCCAGGGTACCTGTGGAGAGGATGGTGGAGACCGTCTTGCTTCGGCGATGACCCCTGAAGGCGACCAAGGAGAAAGGGTAGGTTACACCGTGCTCCAGGTCTTGCAGCTCAAAACTCTGCTCACCTCTTCGGAGCTGTACCTCCTATCAGAAAAAGAGCAGTCATGACTCAAGTCATCACTTCCTAGATGTCGACAGTACTGCTTAGAGCTGATGCCCATGCTCTCTGTGGGCTCAGTGGCAGCCCCGAGTCCCTGGGAGTCCCAGGCCCTTCTCCGGAGCCCTGTACCAAGGACTTCCAACACCCATGGCTGCATCAGCTCAGAACACTGCCCCTTCAGGAGCACCACCCAGGTTTTCTGAGACTTCTACCCTCAGATAAACGCTGGGCACTGACTGAAGCCACCACGGGCAGCAAGAGCTTGGCAGACTAAGGGAGGTGAAACGGGTCATTGCATCTGAGACACAGTGAGACTCCTTTCTGAACCTATCTTTACTTCCCCTACCAGCCAACTTTCTTAGCTAAGCCACCACAAGCATTAAATCATGACGATGAATAAATTAAAGGCCTGTTTCCATTTTTGCTTCCTCACCAAAGAAGAAAGAATGATCATTTTCTATCAGGATAAAATTTCGGAAATGTTGTTAGCATTCAGATTCCAAGGGTGAACAGATTCAATTAAACAGGGGTGGGTCAGTTCATTTAGTGTTCACTGAGCATGTCACATGTGCTTAGCACAAACTCCAGTAATTTATATATACAACAATAACCAAACCAGGCAAAGGTTCCCTCCCCTTTATTCAACCAGCAGAAAGTGAATCAACCTGGTGCTGATGTACAGCCAGTGAATATGTGATGGTCAGCTGGCAGCAGCCACAAAGAGTTGTCCTCGTGGCAAGACTACCGTGTTCTCTGTATGAGACCACTATATGTAGCACTGTGCCCTGAATGTAGCAGGTGAGCATAAGAACTCAACAGAGGGATCAGAAGGTTGCCATGAAGCCAATCTGCTTCACTCAGAGGCTGCAAAGAAAAAAACTTCAAGAGAAAAAGACAAGGAAAATAAAATACCTTCACCATGCCATTAGGGAGTTCATAGGTCAGTATGTAGCCATCGATCTCAGCAAAAGGAGGCAACCAGCTCAACACACCACCAGACTGAGTTACGCCAAATGAATGAAAGTTTTTGGGAGGGTCAATTTCTGTGTATGAAAATTTAGGTCATGATTAGTGGTAAGAAGTAATCAATAAGAGGTCACTTTTAATATATCAAAAACGATTTTATTTTCTCTATCCACAGCTTCCTATTTCTCTCCCTCCCCTTCCTCTCCGGGCAGTCTTCTTGACCTTTGTTTCTAAATGTACACTCATTGAGGACACGAGGGTTAAAGAACATGGCACGTGAGGGGTCCCAGAGTGGGACAAATCAGAATGCCACCTCCCAAGAGGATTCCCAGAGAGTGGGAGAGGAGAGCGGTCATGGGTTTTCAGAGTTGGCAGAGCTGCCAAACTGACATGGTAAGATCTGGAAGGACCATGCAACCACCTGAGAGTATACCTGAAATGTGGATGGGCCTCCCCTACCTGCTACTGGGAAACTACTTGTGCCCCATAGCCCAAAGGAGTGGGCGTGACCCTAAAAGGACTGGGATTTCCTAGCACCAGGCAAACTTGGGGCTTATGATGGAAAGTAAGTTGGTAGAAAAATAAACTGATAGACCTCACACATAATCAAAATACAAAGTTGTGTTTCATATATATCGAATTGTGCCCCCCCATGCACACCAATGCAGAGAGAAGAGAAGGCAGTCCTTCTATGAAGGACAGAAGAGGGGAGCAGGCAGCAGAAATCCTTCCACTTTATGCCTCTCTACCTAAACAACAGAGGGAACGTGAGGGTGTGCGAGGATGCACAGCAGACCAGGAAAGATAATGCTGAGCAGAAATACTCATCAACATCGTAATAACTGGTCAGGCAGCTCATTTTTTTTTAACCAAATAAGACATGAATGGAAATTTCCATTTACAAAAAATAAACCATGATCATAAAAGATAATTTTAATTTAGAAGTTCCCAAAGAGATGTCTCCAAGCTATTTTCTCCCCAGTAGCATCTCAATTGGGAACTGAATTGCAGTATTTTAATGGAAATCAGACAGCTGTTGTTTTGAATTAGGGTGTTTTGACAAATTTTGAGTTTTTGTAATATCAGCTTGGTTTGATATTCTAAAGCATAACATCTGGCATGGATTGGAGTCTGTCCATCACATGGGAAACTGAACTTCCTTCTCACAAATTCAAAGCAAGATCATCACTATTTAAGCATTTTCAGCTTGTCTTTGTCACCTCTTCGATCACTCACGGATCCCCACTGGGTGCTTGAAATAAATCTTCATAAACTAGAAAAGCAATATTCTCATTGTCGTTGTCTTTAAACTTGGGAAAAGAAAAGATAAAGAGGAAAGGAGAGGAAAGGAGAGGAAAGGGGAGTCTCGACAGTTCAATTGGCTAATCCTCTACCTGCAAGCACTAGCATGTCATATGGGTGCCAGTTTGTGTCCCAGCTGCTCGACTTCTCATTTGGCTCCCTGTTTGTGGCCTGGGAAAGTAGTGGAGGACGGTCCAGAGCCTTGGGACCCTGCATCCAAGTGGGAGACTTAGAAGAAGCTCCTGGTTCTAGGATCGACTCAGCTATATTGTTGCGGCCACTTGGGGAGTGAACAAGCATATGGAAGATCTTTCTCTCTGTCTCTGCTTCTCTCTGTGAATCTGACTTTCCAATACAAATAAATAAATCTTTTTTTAAGGGAGTTGTAAAGGGGAAACAGAGAAGTAAAGAAGGAGAGAGAGAGAGAAAGGAGCATTGGGCAGGGGCAGGGGGACAAAGGAACAATAGTAGGGGGAGATCCCAGTTGCTGGCTGCCCCTGGACAGTCACACTAGTACTAGGAGTTCTGGGTTGCACAAAGAAGAGAGTTTTTAAATGTGCACTTTTGCTTCATTTGAAAATGCTTATTGTGAACACAAATGAAGATATACAAGGCACTTCTACCTCTTAACCACACTTGGTGCATTGCACCACAGAAGGGATGGGCAAACCCCTCCCACACTGTCTGATAAGACCTGACTGTGGGTCTGCAAGCTGGAGAGCCCACCACATGTGCAAAACCCACACAGCCCAGGCACCCACGATCATCAAGTGGGAATGGAATGGAGGAATCATTCCACCATCACCCCAGAGCCTCTGCGACACGTGGTCTGGGCAAGGAGCTCCCTGGCACAATCACCACACCATGTCAATATCAGTGTGTCACCACTTCAAGGTCAGAGGCAACCATGCTTATGGCAACCTCCTTGGTCCCTTCTCCATCAGTCATGCTGGAAAGACTCTTCCCTAATAGATGTGAAGTAGGGGTCATCAGTTTCAGTCCTTTGCAGTACCTGTCAAGGCCTTGGTGTCAGCCTTCTTGCTCTCCTGGGTCCCCTTCTGTGCCCACACATAGACCTTATACTCCACGCCTGGCCTCAGGCCCGTCAGGATGGTGCTGCTCCGCTCCTTGCCCACAGGCATCTCCTTGCTCTCCCCATCAGCAGAGGTGTAGCGCACCACATACTTGTCAATGTTGGCTCGCACAGGATCCCAGGAGATGGTGGCCGTGTTCTCTGTCACCCTGTTGGTCACTAGGTTTTTGGGGCTGTCAATTTCTTTAAGAAGAAAAAAGGAAGAAGAAAGAAAGGTTCAGAAAAAAAAAAAAAACTGGACTTTAGGACCCAGAAAGGGCATCTCCACCCTTGGTGAGCAATGGTATCATCCCATTTGACACCAGAGTGAGAGGCCTCCTGGATGATGGAAAATGAACCAGCAGTTGGGAAGAGAAATCAGACCTTGTCCATATTCCGGTCCTGTGCACAACATCAAAGTCTCCCATGGCACAGGGTAAGACCCCAAGCTGCTACTGAAACAACCTCCTCTCCTCTCTCCATGGTTTCCACTTACTTTGTTTCACATTGAGTGTCTACTGGCAGCCTATCTTGCAATCTGCTTGACTTACAAAGGGAACAGAGAAATGTAGAGGTTTGCCCATGCTCCTACTGGACCCCACGCGCTCTGAGTTTGAAAAACTGACTCCCTCTTCTCCATCACCTGCTCTCTCTCCTCCCCATGTTATTCTCTGCACCCCTGAACTGATGGGCACACCTTCATTTCACCACACACACAGGCACCCTTTCTGTACCACGCCACTAAGCTAGTTCAGGTTCCCACCAGCTTCCACATTGCCACAACCAAGGCACCAGCTGTCCTTACTTTACTCAGCTTTGACTTCCATCAGCAGAGCCAATTCTCTCCCTCCCTTCACAAGCCCCTGGCTTCTATGATAGCTCTACATGTCCCTCCAAAATCACAGATGCCTCCTCCTCACCAACCTCTATGAGCAACCTCCAAATGTGGCAGTGGCCAAAGCTCCCTTTCTTGGTACATTTCTCTCAAGGTGCTCTCACTCACGTCCACAGTCAATTTGTTAGCTGAATGCTCGTGAATCAATTCGGAGCCACTGACTTGTATCTACAACCACATATCGCTGACAGGGCCCGGCTTATACTAGATATGCAATATTTGTGCAAATCAATAAACAAAATATTCAACTAACCAATGAATCTCACACATATCTAGACTTCAGTATGTAAAGATCTTAACATATTTATCTCTTTCAGTCTCCTCTCTTACAAAATGATACCCCCTGGGGCAGACACCGTGACATAGCAAGCTAATCTTCTGTCCACAATGCCGACATCCCACATGGGCACTAGTTCATGTCCTGGCTGCTCTACTTTCCACCCAGTTCCCTGCTTATGACCCGAGAGGGCAGTAGAGAATGGCTCAAGCACTTGGACCCTTGCACCCATGTGGGAAACCAACTGCTCCAGGCTCCTGGCTTTGGATCAACTCAGCTCTGGCCATTGTGGCCACTTGGGGAGTAAGCCAGCAGATGGAAGATCTTTCTTCCTCTGTCTCTCCTTTCAGTAAATCTGCCTTTCAAATAAAAACAAATATCTTGGCAGCAATTCAGAAATGTCAAATTATCAAAATCACTTGAGCAGGACCCTCGGAATATGCCTCACATCGGGGACCTGGGATGGGTGGGAGGCTGGGTGGAGCTTCTTCCTTGGTGGAGCTTCTCCCTTTGTTTCTCCCCTGGCCCCAGATACAGGCTGAAAAATGATGTTATTAGTGTGGAAGCAATGGTATTACCCACTTTCTGTAGCCCTTGACCCTTTGTACCCTAATCACCTAAGTAAGATTATAAAAAAAAAATCTTAAAAAAAAAAAAAGGCTGGTGCCCAGTAAGCATCTGGGTACCCCAGTCTTCCATGTTGCTCAAATCAGAAACACAGGTCATTTTCTTCTTATCCCACATTCCATCCATCAGCAAGTCTTGTCATGTATACTTCCAGCAGCTGCCAAGCCCTGCCCTTTGCTCTGCCTCTGCTGCTGTCACATTGGATCTATAAGTGCACGCCGGCGTCCCTACTGATTGGCCCACTTCTATGTCCTCTCTCCCACTGGCTTGTCTTAAATGTTCCCCAGCGAACCTGGCTTCGTGTTACTCCTGTATTACACATTAGCCACTCCGTCCTTACATCCCACATGCCACCTTTGACTTGACCCCTATCCCTTTTCATCTCATACTGGACTCTTGCTCCCTCACTGTGCTTCATTGGCACCAGCCTCTTTGCAGTTCCTCTTTTATCTTATGTGATCTAACTTAGCACCATCACCCACCTCCTCTCCTTCTCCAGAAATGGCTATCTTTCTCCAAAATCCAATCTCCTCTTATATCTAAAAGATCTTTTTTTGCAATGAAAAAAAAAAGTTTCTATAATCTGCACTGTCCAGTACAGTGTGGTTACTAATCATTTGGAACATGGTGAGCCCAACTAAGAAAATCATTTTGAATTTTAATTATTTTTAATTAACTGTAAGTGAAATAGTCACATGCATTAGATTAGTCAGTGAAATGGAGATTAAGCACACAGACATCAAGCTGGAGTCTTCATTTCCCAGCCTGCCTTGTCATGTGGTCTGGCACTATGTCTTGAATCTGGTATTGGAAAGTCGGAAGAACTGACACATGTGGTGTTCTTGTCACATCCTAACCTTTCCCATGCCCCAGCCCACCAGCCAGAATACAGATGGAGTGCAATTGTGCAGATGAGGGAAGTTCCCTAGGGATGATTGAGCAACAGAGAAGACAGGATCAGGGGCTACCACTTCAGTTCTTGCCCTCTTCCTCTCTAACATTGCACAGACAGCAATAAGAAAGGAGCTTACTCCTTTTGAACAGCTATTTTGGTAATTTTTTCAAAGTTCATTCTGCTATCTAATTCACTCATCCCATCTAAGAAACACATCTAGCCCATTTTTTTATACCTACACAATATCCATCACTTTCAAAGAACTCGGCCTTATTCAGGTCACAATGGTGTTCTCTATTCTCTATCTTTCCCATGGGTCTCTAAGAGAGCAACACTTGTATTTTCTTTGTTCCCCATGGTATTCCCAGGCCTGGAACTTAGAAGACGCTCGTGAAAAGTTTACTGCAAAGAGTAGACTGACACAGTCTTCTCAGTCTACAAATTCTGAGGTCACAGATCCCCCAAAACAGCAATCAATCAACCCAAAGTAATTAGCCATTAACTCTTTTCTTCCATTCTATCACCTATCAGTGTCAAACAAGGCAAGCAAAACTTGAACTGCCATGGGCTTAGCATGACAGATGTCAACGTTGTCAAAGAATGATGCCTGTTACCTGTCAGGGCCTTGGTGTTGGCCTTCTTGCTCTCCTGGGACCCCTTCTGGGCCCACACGTGAACTGTGTACTCCACACCTGGCCTCAGCCCCGTCAGGGTCGTGCTGGTCTTCTTCCCCACAGGAAACTTTCTGGTCTCTCCGTCGGCAGAGGTGTAGTGCACCATATACCTGTCGATGTCAGCCTGCACTGGGTCCCAGGAGATGGTGGCTGTGTTCTCTGTCACCTGGCTAACCACCAGGTTTTTGGGACTGTCAATATCTGAAAGGGAAAAAAGTTGGTCATAATGCATGATTATGAGTGAGTGCAGAAACTAACAGTACTCTGCCTGAGGAGCCCCTTTTTTACAGACACATATCTTCTCTCTCCAGATGAATCCAACTTATTGAGTAGAAAGCACAACAGAACAGAATTTGAAAATGTGGGCTATTATACTGTGCCAAAAGTTTAACAAAATATTCCTCTTACATCTTAGCGGTAGCATATGAAGGCCCTACTCTGTCCGAGTCTCTGCCAACAAGGACAATCTTGTGTCTGGCCTCATATCAACAAAGGCCTCCCATTTCATACAGAAGGTTCTAAAAACCAGATCCAGATGCAAACTCCCCAGGAAAGAGAGTACTCTACAGCCACTCAGTCTACCAGACCCTTGTAGAAAACAGGATACATACTGACATGTTACGAAGTGTATCAACCAAACTGTTTTACTATTCTTCAGCATATTATGGTCTCAATAGTCATTCTGGTTCAATTATTGTATGAAACATATTGTATGCATTCCTTTCACAATACTAAAGTTACAACAATGTAGTTAACTGACACTCCAATCCCCAGCCCAGCTATATTATTATTCCACAAACCAAGAATAAACTTCCCTGCTGTGTAAGCAACTGCCTTTTGGGTATTTCTGCCAAAGTGTATCCTACTACTGCTTGCCCATCTCATCTAAGAAATACGTGTGCCCCAATGTTCTCTAAATGAACATGTTCATCTCCTTCACAAGATTTATCATAACTCACACTTACAAAATAAAATTACAATAATGATACGAGTCCCTTTAAACGACATAAACCATAAGAGAAATGTGAAGTACACAACTCTGAAAGTTGAATTTTCAATATATAGCACAATTATTTGTAACAACATTTGATTTTAATTTTCTGTACACACTCACAAACTCATTAAGAGATCATAAAAATCTCTATAGCCAAAGACCTATATGGCCAGGTCACAGCCTGGCCAGAGCCACATGTACCTGCTTCTAAGGTACAAAGCCAAACCAAGAGAGAAAAGGTGTGTGCAGTCCATTGCAAAGGGATAGCACACTGATTTTCTATAAATGATCATTTTCTGCCAATATGAAAGCAGAAAAATATTACTTTATCATGCATAGCCTTAGCATGACAGAAGTGAATTTCCATTACCTGTCGGGGCCTTGGTGTTGGCCTTCTTGCTCTCCTGGGACCCCTTCTGGGCCCACACGTGGACTGTGTACTCCACACCTGGCCTCAGCCCCGTCAGGGTCGTGCTGGTCTTCTCCTTTTTCACCAGAAATTCCTTGGTCTCTCCGTCGGCAGAGGTGTAGTGCACCATATACCTGTCGATGTCAGCCTGCACTGGGTCCCAGGAGATGGTGGCCGTGTTCTCTGTCACCTGGCTAACCACCAGGTTTTTGGGACTGTCAATATCTGAAACAGAATGGACTCATCAATATCCACTATTTACAAGCACAACAAGGAAAGACCTTGTTTGGACTGAGACATGTCCCTGATCTTGTAGATTTCTTGCCTCATACATTAGTTTTAAGACGGTCCATGGACATTGCCCTTATCTCTATGCCTCAAGGAAGCAGCACAGGAGACAGAAATGAGCCTAAATCTAGAGCTCCAAGACCTGGGCTCAAGTGCTGGACCAAAAGGCAGAGCCCAGGAACAGGAAACACCCAGGGCTGCAGGCAGCAGGCCAGGGATGGAATCCCAGCTCTGTCCTTGACCAACTGTGACCTGGACAACTCAGCTGCCTCTGTCTGGGTCTCAGCTCCCTTCTCTGTAAAGTGCAAGTCTCAGATTAAATAGATCACAAATTCCCACAATATTCAGTGAATAGTCCATGAAGCAGCAACATTGTGACCTATAGGAATTACATCCCTCACTGTATCTAAGGTTTCTCCTCTACAAAATGGAGCTGTTCTTTCCTGCTCTATCCAGCTCGACCAATCCCTCTGAGGAGCAAAGCAACTCTCTCATTGCTGAGGGGAATGGAAAACAGGGCAACCAAACTGGGAACAGTTCAACAGTTCCCTAAAAGGCTAGACAGAACGATCCTATGAGCCAGTAAGTCTCCTTCCAGGCAGACACCTTGGTAAGAGGAAAGTAGATGAGCAGACAAAACCTGTGCACAAATGCTCACCTCATCGTTATTCACAGTCTCTAAAAGCAGCAACAACCTGAATGTCGATAAAGTGACAAATGGATAACCAAAATGTGGTGTAGCCGTGCAATGGGAATGTGTGACACTCAAAGCGCTGCTATGTGCTACAGCAAAAAAGAAGCCTGGAAACACGCTTGGCAAGTAAGCCAGGTAGTAAAGACCACACATGCTGTGGATCTACTTCTATGAGATGCCTATAACAGGAAAAATCTCTAAAGACAAGCAAACAGGTTCCTTTGACCTGGAAGAAGTGGGGACGGGGCTTCTCACTGGGAAAATGAAAATGCCCTGAATTAGAGGATGGAACATCCGCATTCTATATATCAGAGTGGACGTTTACACTAAGAACATTATATCTCATTAAGGCTGTTTTTGAAGGAGAGTGAGGAAGAAGGAAAATACCTTTAAACTGTGAGCTGCTTTTGAGTAGAACTACAACCTTAGGGTCCTTGGAACAGAGCATACAGTATTCAAAAGAATTGCTCACTAAAGCAATAACAACTCTGTATTGAAGAGAGCATGACAAAAGTCACTCTCTATCCAGCTCACAGATTCTACAAATACAGTTTCTTTATATTTCTCCTCTTTGGAGAAGAGTGAAGGATTGATTACAAACAACACGTACGGTTGGAGGAAAAGTGGGTACAACTGACCAATTACCATTAACCTTGATAAAGCTAAAAGATACCGCTGCAAATGTGAGGTCTGTGTCCTGAGATGGCGTGTGGGAGAGCAGAGAGGGAAGGCGTGAGCAGGATGATGAGGGCTACCACTCAGCTCCCCTGTAGTGATCGATTTCTGTCAGTGGCAGAGAAGGAAAACAAGACCCCAGCAGCATGGCAGGAAAGCTCTCAGATTCCCAAAGAGCTGTGCTCATTACCTGTCGGGGCCTTGGTGTTGGCCTTCTTGCTCTCCTGGGATCCCTTCTGGGCCCACACGTGGACTGTGTACTCCACACCTGGCCTCAGCCCCGTCAGGGTCGTGCTGGTCTTCTTCCCCACAGGAAATTCCTTGGTCTCTCCATCAGCAGAGGTGTAGTGCACTATGTACTTGTCGATGTCAGCCTGCACTGGGTCCCAGGAGATGGTGGCCGTGTCCTCTGACACATGGCTAACCACCAGGTTTTTGGGGCTGTCAATATCTGAAACAGAATGGACTCATCAATATCCACTATTTACAAGCACAACAAGGAAAGACCTTGTTTGGACTGAGACATGTTCCTCCAGGTAGGTGGTCCATGGACATTGCCCTTGTCTCTATGCCTCAGGGAAGCAGCACAGGAGACAGGAATGAGCCTAAATCTAGAGCTCCAAGACCTGGGCTCTAGTCCTGGACCAGAGAGACAGAGCACAGGGCTGCAGGCAGCAGGCCAGGGATGGAATCCCAGCTCTGTCCTTGGCCAGCCATGACCTGGACAACTCAGCTGCCTCTGCGGCTCAGTTTCTTCAGTTGTAAAGTGTGGAATTCAGGTTAGATGAACTTAAGCTATCTTTTTCTTCCTTCCTTTCTTTCCCTCTTTCTTTCTTTTTTATTTATTTCTTTCTTCTTCTTCCCCCCCCCCCCACTTTTTTTTTGTCTGCTTTTCAGAGATACAGAGGGAGAGGCAGAGAGATATCTACCATCTGATAGCTCACTCTCCAAAGAACCACAATGGCCATCACTGTGTAAGGCTAAATCCAGTAGCCAGGAGCTTCTGAGTCTCTCATGTGAGTGCAGAGACCTTAGTACTCAGACCCTCTGCTGCTTTCCCAGGCACAAGAGCAGGAAGCAGCTAGAACTCAAACCAGTGCCCAGAGGTGATGCTCAGACCACATGTGGCAGATTTATCCATTACACCATAGTGTCATTCTCCGAGGTTTCATCAAGCATTAATATTCTAGACATGCATCTAATTTCACAAATTATTGAACTGTTTCATGACCTTGAACAAACTGTTTTACTTTTATTTCTGCATTTGTAAAATGGGGCTGTTAATACTTATCGGGCATATCTTTCAGGTATCTCTAACCAAGACAAAAATTGCCCTGTAGAACGGGAGTTGGGGGGATCCAGCACAGTGACATACAGAGCTAACCCTCCACCTGCAAGTGTTGACATCCGATTTGGGCACCAGTTTGTCTCCTAGCTGCTCCACTTCAAATCCAACTCTCTGCTTATGCCTGGGAAAGCAGTAGAGGATGCTCTAAAGCCTTGGAACCCTGAACCTGCCGAGGAGACCCAGAAGAAGCTCCTGCTTCCCAGCCTCGAACTGGCCCAGCTCTGACTATTGTGGCCATTTGGTTAATGAACCAGCAGATTAAAAATCTTTCTCAATCGTTTTCTCTCTGTCTCTCTGTCTCTCTTTCCTCTCTCTCACTATAACTTTGACTTTCAAGAAAAAAGATTAATAAATCCTAGGGAAAAAAAGAAAAAATCCTAGGAAAAAAAGAAAAGAGCTGAAAATGTTTCTGTATTGCAGGTTTACTACTCTGGAGCCTCGGAATATTCGCTTATAACTCCAGAGCCACCCATCCCCACCCCAAAAGGGTGGGGGGCAGGGAAAGATAACATGTTCTGTCCTGTGGAGCTGCATGTGAAATGAGTGGATAACACATCTCTGATAGCTCATATCACTGAACAGATACCCAAGGACCACGCGTTGCCACTATTAATAAAAATCAGGTTGTTGTTGCCTTACCTGTACAAGCGATTATACCCTGTAACACATGCAGAGAAGGTAGGTACTCAAAAGCTGTATTTATCACTAAAATATTCACATTTCTGCACTCTATGGAATTTGCCACAAAAGCCATCTCCCTCTCTCACACATGCTGCAGGCTGAGGGCTGAGGCAATTGGCACCTACATGACCAGGCAGAGCCAGGGGTCTATGGCATGCAAAAGGCCTGCATGTCCGCTTGAACGGACAGAGCAGACACATTTGTTCCTGGGCAGAAGTGGACCCACCTGGGGCTATGTTAGAAGCCATCCTACAGGACCACCTGGAGAGGCAAGGTGCTGGGGTGCATGCCCAAAGTTTGGGTAGAAGAGGGGGCACAAGAAATCAATAAGGGAAAGGCACTATCCACGTGAGGACTGCAGTGAGAGTCTTGGACTCTTCTGGAAAAGGAGCACAGAAGTGAGAGAACAGCTTTCACCATCGATCCCCACAACCAGCCCCAAGCAGTCTGGACTGGTCCAGGTGAGCAAGCTCGTCCATGATCCCAGCCTTCCTCCTGGACCTTCATCTCCCCTTTCCTGACCCATCTCCTGGCCTCTTGCCTCTCCTCTTCCTCCTGGACCTTCAGCCGTCCACAATTTAGCTTTCCAAGCTGAGCCAGAAATATGGGCGGGAAGCTGTGCTTTGCAAGCTAGAACAAAAGTACTAGAAGCACAAGGAAGGACAGACAAGTTGGCAGCTGAGCCAAGCCAAAGGAGAAGAGAATGGCTGTTACATGAAAACAGGCATCTCCACTCCTTCAGTCCTACAAAGAAAAGTAGCCAGATGGTATCCTGTTTCAGCTGAGAATGTGCTGTGAGCATTTTGGCTATTTACCCCAAGCAAACCTGCATGCCCCATCAAAATTGGGCTCCAAGCTCCAGTTCCTGGCTCCAGTTGCACAGCCCTAGACCAGCCCCAGCCACTACTGACATTTGAGAAGTAAACCAACAGATGTCAGTGCTCTCTCTCCTTGCCCTCAATAATTTTTTACATTTTATTTTTAAAATGAGATTTAGAAATATATGAACCACAACAAGCTTCACAGAAGGGTGGAGGGGAGGGCCCTGAGAAATTACCAGCTGCTTTTAAAGATCACTTTGAAGCAGGCAGTATGAGACATGTATCCTGAGAGAAGCCATCACAAGGAAACAGAGACTGCCAAAAGTCACCACGGAAATGCACAACCTTCTCTTCCCCAAGGCATCCCTTTCCGCCCAGGTCAGGGAGGGAAATTCAACAAGCAGGCTCCATTACCTGTCGGGGCCTTGGTGTTGGCCTTCTTGCTCTCCTGGGATCCCTTCTGGGCCCGCACATGGACTGTGTACTCCACACCTGGCCTCAGCCCCGTCAGGGTCGTGCTGGTCTTGTTCCCCACAGAAAACTCTTTGGTCTCTCCGTCGGCAGAGGTGTAGTGCACTATGTACTTGTCGATGTCAGCCTGCACCGGGTCCCAGGAGATGGTGGCTGTGTCCTCTGTCACCTGGCTAACCACCAGGTTTTTAGGGCTGTCGATGTCTAAAAAGGAAGTGTGGGGAAAAGTCGAAACTCGGGGCTTGTGGGAAGCACACTCTACCCCCATCATCATAACTTTCAGTCTCCAGAACCCTAATGCACAAGGTCGAGGGGCTCCATCCCAAGGCTCTGGTGGGTGAAAGTCACTTCCTGGGTCTCCATTGCAAAGGAAGAATCATTATGAACTTGGCACTCTTTCTAGAATCTCAGTTCCCTAACATGTAAGAGGAACAGTATCTTCATAGCAACAGTTGGAATTTCAAGAATGCAAATTAAATACTTGCTTGATGTCAGAATACCTGACTTATTTAACCCAGGGTTCTAAAAGTTTTATCAGGAGCATTGCAGTGACCAGGTACTATCCAGGTCCTGGCTGAGTCAGGTAAAGAATTGCTACCACACAGCTTTATTTTCTCCCTTCCAGTGGCCCAGTGGTTGCGTGAGCAGCTCTTCGCTGACTCCTAGAACCTCCCTGATCTTGAAGACTTCGACTTGCAAGTCTGCCTGCTCAAGCCACAGCCTCCAACACCATGCACATTCAAACCCACAAGCTCATAGAGTTTGACCGCAAAAGAGCCATCTTTCTCTGGTTACCTGTTGGGGCCTTGGTGTCAGCCTTCTTGCTCTCCTGGTCCCCTTTCTGGGCCCACACATAGACCTTATACTCCACGCCTGGCCTCAGGCCCGTCAGGATGGCGCTGCTCTGTTCCTTGCCCACAGGCATCTCCTTGCTCTCTCCGTCGGCAGAGGTGTAGCGCACCACATACTTGTCAATGTCAGCCTGCACCGGGTCCCAGGAGATGGCGGCTGTGTCCTCTGTCACCCGGTCAGTCACCAGGTTTGTGGGGCTGTCGATTTCTTTAAGAGACAGAGGAAAGAACACCATAGCTCTTAGCACCTTCTAGTTCCTGAAGGGCCAATATGTACAGAGACAAAATAGTGTCTTCAATAAATCACATTCTATTACATGATAGTGATTGAAGGAACTTAAAGGTTTAATTAAGCAAGTGGTCAGAAATTACAAGAACAATCTGCCAGCATTTAATATGAACTAGTTTTTCAACCAAGACAACACATATATCAACTCCACGTATAAACTTTCCCCCTCAAGTTATTTTCAGATTAAAAAAAAAAAATGTCCTCACATGCAAATCTCTCCATTGCCTTGGATTTCTTTAATATATTCTTTGCATTCCTGGCTCCTTACACCTGAACAATTCAACAGATCCCTGCATCTGCTCTCATATGTTCTTCCGAAAGGAAAATATCCATATCATGCATGATATCTGTGGCAGGGAACCAGCAGGCTTCGATCAATGGTGTCTGAGGTATAGACTTATTTAATAAAAATAGTTCTACTTACAGAATCTGTCTGAGTTCCCAGGTTATCAAACCATGTTAGGATCTGCTCGCCACAGTTTCCTGACTGTTCACTTTGCATAAGATGTGGAGTTTAAGTCTCTGCCTTCTCATCATACAGCAGGCCGCATACTGAGTTAGACATTGTACAGGCCATGCTTAAATAAGTTATGACTACTGAAGGCATGTAAGCCATGAAAATCACTTTCTTCTCAAAATGTGAACCCTCAGAGAGTCAAACTCCAAGTAATTGGGCGTGTTGCAGACATGCCTTTTTTTATTCTGCTTTGAGAATTCCCTCCTGGACCCATGCTGGCTGGCTCAGCCATTGGCTGCAATGCTGGATCCTACATCTGAGTGGTGGTTCAAGTCCCAACTGCTCCACGTTCAAGCCGGCTCCTTGTTAATGTACCTGGAATCTAGCAGAAGACAGTGCAAGTACTTGGGTCCATTGTCCTCATGTGGGAAAACCAGATGGAGTTTCCGGCTCCTGATTCATGGCTGTGGCCTGGCCCAGTCCCAACTTCTGCAGCCATCTGGGAAGTGAACCAGTAGCTAGAAGATCTATTTTTCTGAGGCTCTCTTCTTTGTGTCATTCTGCCTTTCTACTAAATAAATAAGTCTTACATCCCCTATCAGAGTACTTGGGTTCAAGGCCTGGGCTTCAGTACCAATTCCAGCTTCCTGCTGATGGGTACCCTAGGAAGCAGTGGATGATGGCTCAAGATGTGGGGCCCTGCCAAGAGCCTGAAAAACGCGAGGATGGTGCTCTGGGTTCCTGGCCTCAGCCTGGCCCAGCTCTGGCTGCTGTGTTCATTTGAAGAATGAACCAGAGGACGAAAGATTTCTCTCTGTCTCTCTCTCTGTCTCTCAGAGTGTGTGTGTGTGTAGCATAGTGGCTATGTGAATGTTAATTTGAGTTCCAGCTGTTCCACTTCCAATCCAGCTCCCTACTGATGTACCTGGGAAAGCAGCAAAAGATGACCCAAGCATTTGGGTTCCCAACACCCACGTAGGAAACCCAGATGGAGTTCTGGTTCCTGGCATAAGCCTGGCCCAGCCCTAGCTATTGCAGACATCTCAGACATCTTGGGAGTCAACCGGTGGATGAAAGATCTCTCTCTTTGACTCTCCCTCTCTCTCTGTAACTCTGTTTCTCAAATAACCAAAATAAATCTTTAACATTGTGAGTTCTCTGTGAAATCAAGTGCATTTCAAGCTTGCACTCCATCTCATGCCTAGCACAACAGGCCAACTCGGTGGGATGCATGCCTTAAGGAGCAGAGTTTGGAATACACTCACACATCTGACTGCAGAAACAGGTAACTCTACTCCTGGGACTCTGAGCTTCCTGCAATGCTTCGTAACATCCTGCACTGCTGGAACATCACACAGACCTGCACACCACATAAACCATTGGGGATGATCTGAGCTGCCACACTCTTACCCTAGAAGCCTCAGCATTTGGTTCTACACAGGTATCTCCTCACCCCACAGCTCACCAGGATTCCTCTCCCAACCAGGTCTCCACAGAATCAGGGACATTGGTTTGCTCAAGAACACAGCTCATTACGCTGGGCCCTCTTGTCTTCTCCACTCAGAGGACACCATAAAGGCCTTAGTCAGGCTCTTGATGCTCCTGCCGCAGCTCCATGCATCTCCCACTTGCAGCAATATCACGCCCCAGGCAGCACTGTGGCACAGCAGCTTCCTCTTGCAACACCAGCATCCCATACGGGCACAAGTTTGCATTCCTAGCTACTCAATTTCTGATCCCTCTCGCTTCTAATGCATCTGGGAAAGCAGTAAAAACGCCTTGAGTGTTTGGGCCCCTGCACCCACATGGGAGACCCAGATGAAGCTTCTGACTCCTGGTTTCACCCTGGCCTTTGCAGTCGTTTGGAAGTGAACCAGCAGGTGGAAAATCCCTCTATCCCTCTCTCTCCCTCTTCTCTCTGTGACTCTGTCTCTAAAACTTATCACATCCCATTGGCTTCTTATGTCTGTTGACTATTTATTTACTTGAAGGCAAAGACATAGACAGGCAGATCTTCCACCCACTGGTTCAGTCCTTAAATCCTACAGCTGCTGGGACTGGGCCAGGCCAAAGCCAGGAGGGACTCCATGTGGACCTCGGCAGTTGGTGACAGGCACTCAGCTACTTGAGTCATCTGCTGTCTCCCAAAGGTGTGCGTTAGCAGGAAGCTAAAATCAGAAATGAAGCCAGAACTTGAATCCAGTCCCTCCAAAGTGGGAAGTGGGTGCTCCAAACGATGTCTCAGCTGTTGCACCAGACCCCTACTATTCATTATTGGTTTGAGTAAATAAAACGTTACTGCAACGCAGAAAAGTCAGTTCATTTAAGTGCATTGCCTTTGGCTCTTTTTATGCTGAAGTGGAGAAACTTAGAAATTGCAACAAAGACTGGTACCAAAGCTGAAAATATTCAGTCTTAGACCTGGTGCAGTAGCCTAATGGCTGAAACCCTTGCCTTGCACATGCCAGGATCCCACATAGGTGCCAATTCACGTCCCAGCTACTCTACTTTCCTTCCAGCTCCCTGCTTGTGGTCTGGGAAAGCAGTCGAGGAAAGCCGAAAGCCTTGGGACCCTGCATCCTCGTGGGAGACCTGGAAGAAGCTCTAGGCTTCTGGCTTCGGATTGGCTCAGCTCTAGCCATTGCAGCTGCTTGGGGAGTGAATCAATGGACAGAAGATCTTCCTCTCTGTCTGCCCTCCTCTGTGTATATCTGACTTTCCAATAAATAAAATAAAATAAATCTTCAAAAAAAAAAAGAGAGAGAGAGAAAATATTCAGTCTTTGTGCCTTTATAAGGAGTTTCCTGATCTGGTCCTTACACAAGTTTCAATCTCACCATTCCTACTGCCAGCCTCTCCTCTTCCAGGGCAGTCACTTGCTGAGGTCCTTGTGGACCTAGAAGGCTGGCACCACAAAGCAGTTCGAAGGCCAGATGCTGCTCAACGTGCCAAAAAACACACACTCTCACTTTTTCTGCAGCACTTTCTACATGTCGGGCATTTTTTATAAATCAGTTCATGCAGGGTTCCTAACACCCTGATGGTGCAGAAACATGTAAGCTCGCTTTGTCACCCCAAAAGCTGAGGCACAAATGAGAAGCAACTTGCCCAAAGCCACTCGGGCAGTGAATGGCAGAGCTGGGATCAGAATCCGGACAGTCAGCTCCTGAACAGTACTCCTGACTGTGCACCTGCTTCTCTGAGTCGCCACATCCACTGCCTGTCTAGGACAGAGACAGACAAGAACTGAACACCTTCCCTCTGATCTTCTGCCAACAGTCTCAGCATCTCAAGTGGATTCCAGGATGAGGACCTCTCACAGCGCTGCCTACTTCACTTTTCATTCAGTTCCCTGTTAATGCAACTGCTACCCCCACGAGAGAGCTGCTTGGAGGGTCAGGCTCCTGGCTCCTGCCTGAGCCTGCCCCGGCCATGGTAACCACGTGAGGAGTGACCCTACAGACGGAAGATCTGCTATCACTTGCCCTCTCTCTGTAATGCTGCCTTCCAAATAGATAAATGAATCTTCAAAACAGTGGGGTTCAGAGGCTATAGAGATAAAGGAGAATCAGTGCACTGAGTGAATGTTGATCCAGGAAGCAAAGCGCTCCCACAGCCTGAGAGACAGCTCCGGATTTTATGCAAAAAGTCTACCCAGCCACTGCAAGCTGAGATAACACTCAAACTCACATCAGCCACCCATTTCGCATTTTCATTACAAAAAAAAGAAAATTAGAAAGTTGTATGTTGAATTCCAGCCCAGATATGATCTTCTGAATCCAATATAAAGTACTGGTCTTTTTCATTTGAGGTTAAAAAGAGAAGTAATTCATAATTAGGAAATACATCATTGCTGTACATCCCTCTCTCCCACCTCTGTGAACCACTCAGCTGACTGCCGTGTGGCAATGACCTTCTGATTCAAAAACTGACCTCCCACTTGCTCCTGGGCTTCTCACCTGTTAAGGCCTTGGTGTCGGCTTTCCTGCTCCCTTGGCTGCCCTTCTCAGCCCATACGTAGATTTTGTACTGCTCTCCCGGCTTCAGGCCCTGCAGAACGGTGCTGCTCTGGTCCTTGGGTACGGCCGTCTCCTTGCTCTCCCCTTCAGGGGAGACATAGCGCACCATGTACTTGTCTATGTCGGCCTTCACGGGGTCCCAGGAGACAGCTGCCGTGTCCTCCGTCACTCTGTCAGTGACCACATTGGTTGGACCATCAATTTCTTCACAAAAACACAAGACAGAAAGATTAAGGAAACCAATGGGCGGGTCAGGGTCACAGATGCTAAAAGGTCTGTTTCATCAGAGTGATCTCACTCAACAGTTGGGTAAAAGAGACATTCCATCATCCATGACAGGTGGACCCCCAAACTGAGAAAGGGCTGTCTGACACAAAAGAAGAAATCCATCCATTTTCACTGAACATGTTAGAACCAACTCCCTCAGGTATAGCTACTCAAAGTGTATCTCCTTCAAATGTGCTTAGCCTAGGTCTACATACAGAATCCATCTAGTTGCTCTCCCAGGAGACCATCTTGGACGTCATCAATGAAAAGCGGTTACCACCTATTACACCAGCCTCCTATATCAGAGTGTGATCTTGAGTTCCAGCTGCTTTGCTTCCAGTTTGTCTCCCTGATACTGTACCTGGGAAGGTGGCGGCAGATGGAGCAGGTGCGTATGTCTCCCTGCATGGGAGACCTGAGTGAGCTCACTGCTCCTGACCATGGCTTGGCCCAGCTCTGGCCATCACAGCCCTGTGGGGAGGGGCTGGGGGTGGCAGATCTCACTTGCTGTATCTCCTCTTTCAAGCCGCCCTCCAAAGAAATAATTTTTTAAAAAGACTTATATCCTTCCTTCCCACTTTCTAGTTCTTTAAAAACAAAACAACAGCAACAAAAAAAAAAAAAAAAAAAAAAAAAAACCTCACCTCTTCTATCCTTCTATCCATTCTTTCCAAATTGTGATTCCTAGATCTGGCACTTCTAGGTATTCCCCTTTCTTGCCCTTTTCAAATAAAAACACTCTAAATTCAGTTCATGTATCTCACAACAACACATTAAACATTCATTATGTACCAGTGAATGTAATGGCACTCAGTGGCATCAATGATTCATGAATCAGAGATCCCCACCGAGGACAGCGTGGTGGCAGAGTGGCTTGGGCAGCCTCCTGCACCGCCAGTATCCCACATGGATACCAGCTGGAGATCTAGATGTTCCATTTCCATTCAGTTGCATGCTAATAAGCCTGAGAAAACAGCAAAAAATGGCTCAGGTGCTTAGGCCCACGCAGCTATATGGAAGACCTGGAGGAAACTCCTGGCTCCAGGTTTAAGCCTGGCATAGCCCCATCCCTGTGACCATTTGTGGAATCAATCAACAGGTGGATTCTCTCTCTCTCTCTCTCTCTCTCTCTCTCTCTCTCTCTCTCTCTCTCTGTCTCTCTCTCCAGGGAATAAAGGAAAGAAAAGAGAGAGAGAGAGAGAGAGAAGAAAAAGGAAGGAAAGACAAAAAAAGAAATCCATGCCAACTTGTTACGCTATCCCAGATGGTATGCTTCCCAATCGCACATCCGGAAGGTCTCAGAAATCCTGCATTTGTTCCGTTCCTGTCCCTGCTGACCCCTGAGTTCCTGTCTGTTATGACCCCTGAGTTCCTGTCCCTGCTGACCCCAGAGTTTAACCTTTGTCAATCCTAGGTACTTTGTATGATTCCACCAGATCCCACTTCAGGAGGTCTCAGATGAGCCCACGTGCCTCTTCAAAGAGTATTTCAAAGAGCTCACAGAAAACGAATGAAAGCGTATGCTTGTTTTCATGCAAAAGTTCTAAATTCATACAAAGATGTTCATAATGTGATCTTTCACAAACTTTTTAAAGGCCTCTCATATGCATGGATTTCAAACTATTTTACATAAAAACAAATTTAGCTTCTAATTCCATGTTCCATGAACTTTTGGAAGTGACCTCACATTTTAAAGAAATAAAGCTTTCCAAATAGTACCTGTGCACTCCAAAAGCTGAGGCCATCCATGGCGAACCACATCTGTCCCCATTTCTTTGCATGTATAATGCATTTACTGCACCCAACATCTGTCCTTGCTTTGTTTTCATGTTGCAAATCCTATTCTTTACCTGGTCTGTGGCCCCGCATGCCAATCTTCCTTTCCAATATCTTATCTTTTGAGAAGACACAAGCAAAGACCATCTGGGTACCTCTACCAAGGTCAGCAATGAGGGCACAGCATAGATTAAGCAGGGTGCCCCCAGACCCACCCACACACAGATGGCGCGCTTTGGGTGAAGATTTCCTAGACATTCACCATTCTTCCCCATGTGTCTCTTGTTCTCTTCATCCAGAGTTCTCCAAAGAGAAGTCACAGCTTCACGGAGTCTCATTCTCTACTGTCAGCTGCAACGCACCTTGCTCGGGTGCAGCATGCATATTCCATCACCAGGGCCAGAGTACATCCTACTTAGTACATGAACTGCCGCTTACTGAACACATACTGTCAGGTGTTCTCTGTAAGTTAATTTATCAAATCTCACAGTCACAACACAAGGCATTCGTCAGATCTCCTATGTACAAGCTTGCAACTTTAATAAGGACTATCAGGTTGTCATTTTTAAGGTATCCGCTATATGTTAGTCAAAGAGGTCAGATAAAGTTCCAGAGTTCACTGAGCCAGCAGATGGCGGTCACTGGTTCGTCTCACAAACACCTGTTGAGTTCTTGCCTAAAGCTGTGGGATCACCCACGTCATGGATAGAATCGTGTTGTCAAAAAAAGATGTTGAGGGCCCGGCGGCGTGGCCTAGCAGCTAAAGTCCTCATCTTTAAAGCGTCGGGATCCCATATGGGCGCCGGTTCTAATCCCAGCAGCTCCACTTCCCATCCAGCTCCCTGCTTGTGGCCTGGGAAAGCAGTCAAGGATAGCCCAAAGCTTTGGGACCCTGCACCTGTGTGGGATACCTGGAAGAAGTTCCTGGATCCTGGCTTCGGCTCGGCATAGCATCGGCCGTTGCGCTCACTTGGGGAGTGAATCATCAGACGGAAGATCTTCCTCTCTGTCTCTCCTCCTCTCTGTGTATCTTGACTTTCCAATAAATAAATAAATCTTAAAAAAAAAAGATGTTGAGGGGCTGACACTGTGACACAGTGGGATAAACCACTGTTTGAGACCCTGGCATCCTCTATTAGAGTGCCAAGCCCCAGCTGCTCGTCTCCCAAAGAGCTCCCCACTAATGCATCCAGGAAGTCAGCACAGGGCAACTCAAACATGTAGGCCCCTGCCACCCACAGACCCAGATGGGGCTCTGGGTTACTGCCTTCATCATGGCCCAACCCTGGCTTTTGTGGGCATCCCTGGGATGAACTGATATATAGAAAATCAGTCTCTTATCTCCCTCTCCCTTTCAGGCAAATAAAAATAAATAAACAAGTATTTTAAACAAGCAGAGCTGGTGCTGCCTGTGTGTGCTGAGAGCTCCATGACATCCACATGAGTTCATGGACAAAACCGCAACTATTCTTGCAGTTCCGTTCCCCAGCAGTTCCAGAACACTTAAGGATGGAGCTGAACCTGCAAAAGGCTGCCTTGGCTCTGAGCAATAAGAAAGGGAAAAGGGAATCCTATCGTGGCTGGGTTATAGGAGACCTGGATGGTTAAGCTCAGAAAGGAGATGGGGCTTCTCCAGGTTCGCAGAGTCCGTGGGAGGCGAGGCCACCCAGAGTTGACAGCTCTTGGAAGCCTTTCTCCTTCTCTCAATTCCCTGACAATAATAAATGAAACCACAAGGGGGCGCTTCTGAGACCCATTCAAGGCTCTTAGGATGGAAGACAGATGCCAAAATAGAAAAATGAGAGCAGAGCCTCAGGGCTGGGAACATAGTGCTGGAGAGGCCAGCTTTGCAAGACCAAAGCCTCCCTCTGCCAAGAAGGGACACGGGGACCAAGAGGCAGGTTTTTTTTCCATTCAATTAATAAGCCTTTCAGTAGCTGCAGCAGGCGGCCAAAGCATAGATGAGTCGCAGCTGTGGCCTCAACTACAAAACAAGGTCTGCACCCTGAACTCCGCTTCCTCTGCGGGCCGCAATTCCCCACCTGCTGCTGGTAAAGCTTGATGGGTGAGACGCACCTTAGAAGGCTTGCGTTAAACAGGAGCCCCCGTCAAATCTCTTCTGAACATAAAGAAGAGATTAATAGGAAGCTCTGCTCACACCATGGGAGTTTCCTCCACTTTGTCACAGGATTCCCCGGAGGATTAGGTGGGGCGTGGTTGCCATCAGGCTCAGCTGCAACACCCGACAGCAAGTGCCCACTGCAGCTCGTGGCCACAGGCAGTAGGAACAGATTTCTCCACCCATAACGGCCACCCAGTTGATACAGGAGAAAAACCTACAGGGACATGAACTTGGGGGCAGAGCTGGGGCCAGGGCCACTGCCACTGGTTTCAAAGTGGGCTCACCAAAGAGGTGCCTTTGGGCCATAGTTTCTCTGTGTCCGATGTCCTCAATTTCATAGGCCTCCTCTATTGTCATTCCAAGGTAACAGGAAAGTTACTCAAAAGGCGCCACTTACACAGAATGTGTAAGAGAGACCAACCCCTCTCAGCTTAGTATCATACAACGTACTTCCAGAACAGGGCATTAACTTTGGTCCCAAATGACCCTGGGACCCAATGGCAGTTCCAGCTCTTCAGTAGTTTACCCTGAGTCTCTTAAGCTTTGTAGCCTTCCATTTTCTCATCTATAGCATGAAAATTATAACGCATGGAATATTTCCGAACTTCTTGTGAAGTAGGAAGTGTGGTTGTGAGGACGTAAGAAGAAACCCAGGGGCTCTTCCCACTGAAGACCATGGCGTCTCCGGCCTCGCCTGTGCTTGCTGCACTTAGAAAGGACCAAGGTCCAGTCTGAGCCTGTGACCAGGGTGCGGATTTCCAGCTGACTCCTGCCCTCTTGTGGCGGCGTGGAAAAGACCCAAAGTGTGGTATGCTCGTGCTGTGCTGTTCTTAAATTCCAATGTTTTCCACCTCACAGAATGCAAAATGTTGGAGAAAGCAGACACAGCTTTTTTTAATTAGCAGTCTAGCCTTGTTTGAGAGTGTTTTCTGACCTTAGAAATCACAGTCTTTCTCCTTTTTTTTCTTCATTGTGAGTGGAACATATGACACAAATTTATATGCAATTCAATAAAAAATATGCCATCTTGGTTTTAGGATATAATTAACAATAAAAGCACTACTTCTTGAGAGTTAACATTTCCAGATGAGATAATACACTTGAAAGTTTTACTAGAAGTTCAAGGCCATAAGTGATTAAATGCTCCAAGAACTCTGAGGCAATGATGGCTAACATTTAATGCGGTTATGGAAGGCCCCAGTGGAGAAGCTAAGATCTGAGCCTATACACCCGGATGCCATAAATACTGTGAAACCACTGAAGGACGGAGACCATGCCCGCCCATCTTCAGAGTCCCTAAAGGCCAATGTCTCTTTTGTGCAACTGTACCCTGTAATAAGTGTTTGCTGAATTGAATTAGTCAATAGCTAGAGATATTAGCCAAGGCTTTTTCTAGGCAAGGGTCACACTACCACAAACCCAACGGGAATCAATAAAATTTCCATTTCGGGAAACCCCAGAAAACAGTCTCATTATTGGAAAGTCTGCTGTGGAGAAGTGAGGTGAAAAGCAGCTCAGGTTGGATAGGCCCACTGAGGCTAAAGCTTTGCCTCAGCACCCACGGTGGGTTGGTGCAGCACCCCTAGGCATACCAAATCAAGGACACGCAAGTCCTAACCTAAGGTAGAATGGAACTCATATAATCCACACATGTCCTTCTGTATATTCTATTTTCTCTGTATTACTTATAATACCTAATCAATGTAAATTCCATACAAATAGCTATTGTTTGCTGTACCTCTTTGTTAAGAAAAGGACAAGCACCATCTGTCCATGTTTCTGTACATTTTTTCAAATTAGCAGAGGTGGGAGCAGTGGGTCCAGCGGGCTGACTGTATACCTTCTCGTCAGGCACTGAGGAGTTGCAGACACTTCTTAGAAAGTCAACAGCCTGAAAATGAACTGGAAACCACGAGCCAGCAGTCTGGGAGGTGTGTGATAGTATAATGTATAATAAGACAATATTTGTGGTTTCAGTACCAGCTTCCTGGCACATAGCTCCTAAAACCCTTAACCTCCGCGAAGTCAAAAGGCTCTTTTTGTATGGCTCAGGGTTCCTGGCTAACTTCAGGATGGAGGGCTGGTTGCCAGAGGAGCCAAGCGTGACACAGGCTGATGGAATCACCCGGGGCTGATGATTTCCTAAGTCCACACAGTGAGAGCCCCGGGAAGAATCAGACAGTGTTCCAGTTACGCATTTAGCTCAGTGATTAACACATTGATCCCCCATCAGAATCCCTGGCTTTGGATCCTGGTGCGCTTCAACCCAGCTTCCTGCTAAAAGGAGGCGGATGAAGGCTCAGGTAATTGGGACCCTGCTACCCATAGGCCTGAGTAAGAGGTCCAACTTCATGACTTCAGCCTGTCTCAGTCTGACCATTACAGGCTTTTAAGGAGAGAGCCAATGGATGGAAGTGCGCGCTCTCTCTCTTACTCTGCATTCCACAAAATTTAAGACAAATACATAATAATTTTTTATCCAAATGAAATAAACAGGACTTTTTTTAAAGGAGCAGTGTTCAGAGATGGGCATGTTGAGATTCCTGCTGGGTGGTACATTCAGAAGAGAGGGCATGCAAGCTCAGTGCCCTCCACGTGTGCCATGTGCTTGTTGCAGCAATTGGGGTACTGGTAGCCTGGGACATCCACACCCCATTTCAGAGGGCCTGTGTCCCTGTCTTGGCTCTGCTCCTGAGCCCAGCTTCGCACAGCAGGAGCAGTTGATGACTCAGTGCTTGGCTTCCTGACACTCATGTGAGAGGCTCTCATTGAATCCCTAGCCCGGCCCTGCCCAAGCCCAGCTGTCACAGCTGGGAAAGCGAGCCAACAGGTGGTAGGCCTTGGTATGCCTGTCTCTTTCTTGGTCTCTCTTTCCAAAAACTCAAATACATAATTTTATATGAAATTAAGTTTGGGCTCAAAAGAAGTCGACACATAGTTTGTTCACAATATATATTTTCCACAAACTCTGTGAAGACCTCTCATAAAGGGTAAACACAGCAGAATGTTCCTCTGCACTGCGTGAGGTACTCAAAATAGAGCCAGGAAGGAAATCCGAGAAACTTCCCATCTGCAACTGGTTCATCAGAAGCACAGGTGCCAACCTAGGGCTTAGCACTGGCATCTGAAGCAAAGAAGGTCCAAAGGGAGCGACACTCCCTGTGGAACCACACACTATTTTTTTTTTCGGGTAGATCATATCTAACCAGAACTGAACCTGAGGACGCACCCATGGAGTGACGTGGGATTGAACCTTGGGACACTCCAATGGAGAGACATGGGGAGAAACTCCCCATGCATTCGGCGATCAGAGAGCAAAGGTTCTTTGTGGCATAGACTGTAGAAGAGAAAGCGCTTATCTCTTACAAGAGCGGAAAAGCAGACGTCTTGTGCGTCCTGAAAGAACTCAGTCACTTCCTTCCCAGATGATTCTGAGTCTCTCAGCTATCCTGTAGTTGCCATAGCAATATAAAAGGACCCGTGTCGTGGGGCAGCTGGGAGAACTCAGTCAAGAATACATGAAAAGTGCTTAGCGCCTACGATGCCTCACACACAGTAAACTCAGTTTCCAGCTGCAGAGAAAGACGGGGGAAGCGGAGGCAGACTAATGCGTTTCACCAGTCTCATGTTTGGCCAGGCTACAGTCTGTGGTACTTCATTTACACGTGGAACCATACTTTGCCCTTTGTAATTGCCCAGTAACAACCTTCTTGCACCAGAATGCAGTTGGTGCAGTCCTAAGCAGTTGGAATAGTGAACTAAACTCTCATGCCACCACCCCATTATCCCCAGCACCCCGATCCGTCGCCTGCACAACTGAGTAGGAAAGCATGAACAATCTTTTCGAACAAGGCTCAAACAGCCAAGGCCCCTTTTTTGCAGTCCCCAGCATGAGTGTCCACCACAGGCGCTAGGTTTTACACTTCGGGTTCCCAACGTGGGTCAAGCGGGCCACTATTAAAATGTCAAATGTTCATAAGAGATCCTGAATATGTGCCCACAATATTTTTTAATTCTGTTATTAATAAATCACAATTTGCTGTCAGAAACTACTGATTCACAATGTTTTGTCATTGCATATTTTCTCAATAAATAAATACTTAAAATACCATTCCTCTGGATGAGGTCTTTAATATCCTTTGACTGCCTGGCTGTGTTCATGAGGAAAGCACAGATGTGGCCAGAGAAGAGCATAGACTCCCCGTGTGTGGATGATATGGACCTGAGGGCGCCCGGGTCCGAGCTAGTGCATGTCCTAACAACCTGGCAGTGCAACAGGAAGGAGACAGAGACGGCCTTTGCTTGACTCAGCGGCCGCCAAAGTCTGAAACGGAGCCGTGTTCAGAGACGGGCACCTGGAAGCTCCTGCTTCCCTGCCCCCGCCCCCAAACCGTTCCTCCGACATGAAGGGATGGAATCTCTGTGTGCCGATCCCTGACATTTTTATCCCGAGAGGAGTCAGCCGTGGGAAAGGTGCTCATGCAAACGGGCTGAGTCCCCCGCACCTGCAGGTAGTTCTTACCTGTCCTGCCGCTCAGGAGAATGGGCTTGCCCTCCAGGTCGCCTCTCACAGGAATCACTGTAATCTTATACTCTGTCCCAGGCTGCAGACCTGCAGGCAGGCATCAAAGCTGGATGAGAGGTCAGGCTCTGAGCCCTGATGCCCTGCTGCTCCCCGCGGGAGGCCTCCAGGGACCCACGGAACACAAGACACTGGGTAGGCGGCTGGTTAATCGGGAGGAAGGGCCTGAGCATGCGAGGTGGTATCTAAAAAGCTCCCATCCTTTGTTGGGGTACCTAATGTTTGTCTCCTGACTTTATTTATGCCCCCCAATGTCTTCCTGCCCCTAACAGTCCTTTTCCCTTAAAAATTTCTTTCCAAGATTTTTTTTTTCCTTCTCCACATCCCTTAAACTTCTTCCTCTGTAGAAGCAGTTTGAATGGTTGTTGCTCCTGTCCCCAGTGGCAAACGCAGGCAAATACAAACGAGGACCATGTTCTCATTGTCCGGTGCCCAGAAACAGAACCCCACCTCGCTCTCCATGTCTCAATGCGGGCTGTGGGACCACAGGACCCGGGTCCAGAGGAGGCAACCTGCTCAGGCCTCTTCCCACGGTCCAATACCTAGTTAGGCATTCACAATTGAGTGTAACTTTTATTAAACTCTGAAAAACTTGGTCCATGTCCACATGCCTGTTTCTTCAGCCTCAACAGCATTAGTTTAGCCATCTGGGACCGGGAGCCCCCAGGCCTCCTAACACAACAAACCAATCTCAGTATACCTCCCCAGCACCACACACCTATCCCCACCACACGCACACACACAATTCATCCTAGAGCAATGTCTGAATACCATTCAGTCCTTCCGAAGGCCCCCACAGGGTCTTCTACCGACTAGCGGACCTGGCAGAACATCGCACATGGTCATCTATTGTTACCAAGGCACCCTGGGATTCCAGCTCTAGATCTGACACAGTCTGCAGGCCTCCAGAGCTGGCTCAGGTCTGCGAGTTTCAGGGGTCAATGTCTGAAGCCCCAGGACTCTGAGGCACACTGTCCCCACCCAGCATTCCCGGCAGGCGTCTCCCAGCCCCTTGGCAGCCCTTACCGGTGATGTCATATCGGCTCTTGGGCTCACTGCTCTTGGGCACGGTGACCTCATCCACCTCGTGCCCTGTCAAGGGGCCGTACTGCAGCTTGTAGTAGTCCACCTCAGTCAACGGGTTCTCCCACTCCACGTCCAGTGAGGTCTCTGTCTCTTCTGTGACCCAAGCAGTGCCAAGCACAGCAGGATCTGGGACGGGGACAGAAAGGGAAAAACGGAATGGTGAAGAGCAGGGGGCCCGCAGGTCAGTCACAGGCCGTTGGCTGCAAGCTGCCTCGGTCCTTGCCGCTCTCAGAGCTACTCCTCTGGCGCCCGTGCCGTCGGCTTTCAATTTTCCATGGAGGCCATACTGGGAAAGTCTCTGTTCTCCCTTCCTGCTGGGTGCCACGCTGCCCTCCCTGTCCACACTGAGTCAGCTCGGGCCAGTGGGGCACACCAGTCAGTTAGGACTGAGCTAGACACTCCTCCTTTGAGCTCCAGGGTCCCCGACAACCTTAGGAGAAGAGGCCTAGGCCCTTTCATGTGAAGCTGGGAACTGCATTTACAGTTTGCTGGAGTGGAACAGTAATAGTACAACCAGCTCTCTCCTCCAGCCCCCACCTTCCAGTCCCTGATTCTCAAGTTGTCCCCCAAGTATTCGCTCAAAGCAGAGCTCTAAAGTAGGTGGATCTTAACCATGAACCAGGTCCTTCCAAGTATCCTTCTATGCTGCTCCTTCTGTGCAATCTCAGGACGTCACCAGGCACCTGAGGGTCTCCTGCTGCCGGATCTCTGTGAGGAAGCAGTCACTGCGTGCACTTATTCCCAATAACGTATCAGCAGCGAAACAATCACCTTTCTTCAGAAAAAGGAGATGTGACAGTACAATGAGGAAGAAACTGGGGGCAGGGATGCCAGAGGAAAATGCTAGGATTGGGATCTTTGGGAAGCACTCTGAATACAGAAGCTGGATGCCAGGCTTCCAGTTTCACACAATAATGACAAGTGCCCCAGGTTCTCCGCCTCACCCCTTCCTTGTTCACACCCTCCAGCTCCAGATGGGATCAGCACTTGTCGCAAATGTGGGACAAGTAATTTACACATGCTGATGCTGTGAGCTCAGCGGCCCGGTGGTCCCTCTCCCCTGCATTAATCTGTAGCAGATAAAGCAGCCCACAGACACTTTGCTGCTGGCTTGCACCCACCTGCCAGTGCCTAGGTTCTGCTTCTAGATTCTCTTCAAAAATGGGAATCCCTGGGGGACAGGTCAACAGGTAATGAAAGTGACCTTAGGATATAGAAGAGGGCTTATATGGTTTTAAAGAATTGGGAATTCTTTTAAAGAACTGAGAATGTTCAGGATAATGACAGAGATAATTGTCTCTCAGTATCGGGAGCATATAAGAATGGATTTTACTGGAATCAGAGACAAGGAGGAACCTCACACTTGTGGGATTTCGTACATCTCTAAAGCAAGATGCCACAGTGTTGCTAGGACTTTCAGACAGATGTCCCTGTCCTCCCCTGGCAGACTGGCCTTGATTCCCTCTGTAGGCACCAGCAGCCACAGGCAAAAGGGAGAGCAAGAAACGGACCTCTGGCCAGTCGGGAGCAGCCAAGCTCTCTGGCTTGATGTCTTCCAGTTGAATAGAAAGCATTTCACAGAGTGTCAACACCGTGAGCCACTCTGACCGCAGAAACTCAAGAGACACATAAGAGTTCTCTGTGACCATGTCTGAATACAGACCAAAGCATGGGGACCATCATCCAAGCCACGGGGAGGACTGAACATTCCCCACCAACTGATGAGCCCCCTCTTGCTCACCCTCATTCTAGCCAAAAATCACCAGGCAACCAATCACAAAGCTACTCCTGCTTTGTGACAGCGTCCAAGCCCCAGCAAACTCCTGCCCCTGAAACCATCCCTAAATTGTCCCAAATTCTCTAGCCAGTCCCTCTGGCATCCTCTCACTAGACACATCATGGCACACAATGGTATGGGTTCTGGCATGCTAAATAATCCACAAACCTGACATGGGCCATTCCTAAGGCATTCTTAGGCTGAAGGACACTGACAAAGTCAATAATTCCAAGATGCCAAGTCTCCCATGACCATTTCCAGTACTCATTTCTACCACCGAGAGAGAGAGAGAGAGAGAGAGAGAGAGAGAGAGAGCTGATCTTCCTGCAAAGACAATGTATTCCAAAGGCCCATCCATTGGATCTCCCCGAACCTTTCCCAAGGGGCCCAGGGCAAAATGACATGGTGACATGGCAGCAAATTGTCATCATCATTCAGTGCTGTGCCAGACACACATCAGGTGTCAATCAAAATACGTTGAGTAAGGGAATGGATCACTGAATCAGGTTTATCCAGACCCATTCAGACCCAAGCTGCTTCCATGAGCAAACAAGCCTTTCTGAAGAGGAAGTAGTGATGTTTGTCCTACTGAGCACCTTGTAGCGTACAGGAGACCCTCTCCATCAAGCACCTTGTAGCATACAGGAGAACCTCTCCACATGCAACCTCCGTCACCCCCTGCTCTGCTCCATATCTCAGACTATGACGTTTGGGAGCAGAGCCAGCCAGGGTCCCCGGCCATGTTCTGACTCAGCCACCAGCAGTTCAGAAGCTAGGACGGCATTCTCCCAAGGGGCATTGTGAAATCTGCATGCCTCTAACAAAAACATCCCATTGGGCAATGTATTCCTGCAGCCTTCTCTGAGTCCAGTATCAGCATCCATCCTGGACCCCTCTTCAAGCTAGTGTGGGTCTCTACTGAAGTCAGTTGCAGAGTGTCCCAGCAGGCAAACCCACATTGTTGTTAACAACCTTCTCACTAAACTTTCTTTGATTATTCGATTTGTGTCATTCCTATCGAAATAAGAGTGATCCAGCTAGCTGCAGCACACACACACACACACACACACACACCCCTCTTGATTAAAATCTGCTGCTGAATGGCCTCAGAAGTTCAGGGAGGAGCTGGAGATGCCAGTGTCCCCTGTGGCTGCTTGAGTGTAAGTGCAAGCAATGAGGCCTTCCTAACCTCAGAGACAGAAAGAATCCTTGTAACCCAACCCAGCAGGCAACGTCAGGGAGCTGGGGAGGAGAGAGGAGAAGCACTTCTCCCCAGAACCTGGGACTGCAGCAGTTGTACATTTGCAAACCCCCAAAGCGGGACAACAGACTGACTTTTGCAAGGATTATTTTTGGGGAATGTGGGAGAAAGCACATGACATGGGGTGCCTGGCTGCCTGCTCACCTGTGGCAGCAAGGAGGTGCTGGGGGTTGCTGGACACATCTTTCTTCACGTTACGCAGGGTGACGATGTACTTGGTTCCGGGCTGCAGACCAGGAATCTCATAGCTGTGCTGCTCCTTGGGCACTTGGAGCTGCTTCGCCAAGAGCTCCTTTCCCAGGGGATAGTAGCTGAGAAGGTAGTGGTCCACTTGGCTGGTGGGTTCCCAGCTCACCAGCAGGGAACTCTCCGTGCTCTTGAGTAGCTGCAGGCCCTGGGGGGCAATCACTACAGAAGGACAAGAAGGAGAGGGTGAGGGAGGCCGGAATCAGACGAGTATCCACTGAGCTGCTAGTGTCACTGAACACTGTAATGGCGAGAGTAGAGGATGCAGACCTGTGGAAGGCTCCATTCTTACTCTCCTCTGACCCCTCAAACTTCTCTGGTTGAGAATAAAAACTGACCACACACACACACACAGCCATTAGCTCCCAAAAAATACCAATGATCCTCAAAAGTCAGGCCCCCAACCAACAGCAGAAGCATCACTGCAGAACTTATTATAAAAGCACACTTCTGTCCCCCACCCAGACCTGCTGACTCAGACACAGGATGGGGCCCTGCAGTGGCTGTGTTAACATGCACTTGAGGAGATTCTGAGCGGGCTTAGGGGGCCAGTCCCCTAGACGTGACGCTCGGTTGCTGGGGCACTGGGTACCAGGATCTCAGAGAGATGACAGGTAGGAGACGCGCTTCTCACCCTGCGCGCAGTCGGGGCCAACGAAGCCCTCCTCGCAGTAACACTCGCCCGTGTCGCAGAAGCCATGGCCGCTGCAGTCGCCAGGACAGCGCCGCTCGCTGCAGTCTTCCGACGTGAAGTCCTCGTAGCACTGGCAGACGCCCTGCACGCAGACGCCGTGCCCGCTGCAGTTCTCGGGGCAGGCGGAGTAGGCACAGTCGGCGCCCACATAGGGCGCATCGCACAGGCAGCGCCCGTCCTCACAGCGCCCGTGGCCGCTGCACGCTCCGGGGCAGGAAGGCCGCTCACAGTCTGAGCCTTCCCAGCCTTGGTCGCAGCGGCAGGTGCAGGTCTCTAGGGAGAAGGTGCCGTGGCCGCTGCAATGGCGACTCAGGTCTGGAAGGGAGAAAACCACACAGAGAGAGCGATCCAGACATGTTCCCTCCTTTCTCCACCCGACAGGTTGCATTATCTAAGCCATTTTCCTTTCCTTTACTACTGATTTTTCTATGAAACGGCCTTAGAAGCTCCACCCTGGTGGACTGCTGGCCAGGCCACACTAAGGAACAGCGCGCCTTTGCCGGGTGGGTGGAGTGTTGGCCTTATCCCGGCTGGCAGGAGCTGGAAACAAAGGCCAGGTGTCTGCAAAATATGCTGGTGGAAGGCCTGGGCAGGGGAATGGCGACCTAATCTTCCATCTGCAATGCTGGCATCCCATATGGGCACCCGTTTATGTCCCTGATATTCCATTTCCAATCCAGCTCCCTGCCGGTGGCCACCTGGGGAATGAATCAGCAGGTGGAAGACCTTCTCACTATCCCTCGTGTCTGCGACTTTGCCTTTCCAATGAAAATAAATAAATCTCAAACAGCAATAACAATAACAACAGGCCAAGCTGAAGAACACACAGCTCTGCTGTGGGCCCGAATGTGGGAGAAGAGATTGGATCAGGTTCCCTTCTTGAACCCAAGACAGCAAACGGCTTCTACCTGGAACACAGGCCAGAACAACCCTTTCTCTTACTTCTTGGAAAAGTTTTTCTTTCTAAAAACACTTGGGAAAGTGGAGGCCTCCTCCAGGACGATTCCACAGATGGCAGCATCTGTGGTGCCAAGCTGTGTCTGCATTTTTAGGAAGTACTCTTAACCTCTGTGATTCCTTCCAGTGTAAAAACCCATGCCAAAGTTTCACTCATGGCCATTTGGATCAGCCATCAGCCTGGGCAGCTTATGCTTTCAAAAAGATGAGAATGAAGAAAAGCAACCCTCATAATTTGTAAAATCAAACTGTGTGCTTTATTGTTTATAAGATGATTGTAATTTGCTGAACATCTACTGTGGGCTAGGAGCCCATAAATACACCATGTGTGGTTTCCAGAACTACAGTAACTGATACAATTATCCCCTTATAGGATTGGTCCAAGGGCACATCTCAAAAATAGCAGAACTGGGATTCAAACCCAGTCCTGTCCCTGTCCAAAGCCTCTGTTTGTTCCCTCTGCATACATTCTGGATCCATAAGTTAGAGTCCTTAGTAGCCCCACATGAAGTGCTGGCCTCCGAAATCCAGGCTCTTCTCATGGGTTCCTGGTCCCTCACTGCTCAGGCTTCCAGAAGCCTCCTGGAGTTGGGACTACTGGATAAACAGATACACAGCAGGAACATACCCAACTCCACCTCTGGACAAGCCCAGGGTGAGAAGGGCGAATGCTCCAGACTCTGTTCATGAGCTGCTGCAGCGCCTGGCACACACAGGTGCTCATTGCATGCTTGCTGAGTGAATATCAGGTGGGGAACTCACCAGAAGCTCCTTGGCAGCAGTGCTGGGGACTGCACCGTTCCTTCATCTCTGCCATCTCCTCCTCCAGCTTCTTCACCCGGGCCAGGAGGTCCTGGACACTGTCCGCCAACTCACAGTCCTTCTGTGGCGTCTGAAGGCGGATATTGTGCCTGAAGATGATGTTCTGTTCCTCCCCAGCCTCCCCCAGGGCCAACAGGGAAGTCCCTTCATCACTGAGAGGCTGAGGGTCAGCCTCCACCTGGACCAGGGCTGACTTGGGCACGTCGATCTTGTAGGTGTGGCTGAGGGTCACCTGCTGTTCTTTGCCGCTGCAGCTGTGGGGCTCTGGTGTGGCTGGGGCCGAAGCCGCCAGGAGCACAGAGCCAAGCAGGAGCCCCAAGGGGAGGCTGAACATCCTCTGGGAGCCCATCATTGGAGAGACAGGGAGCAGGTGCTCCAGGAGACCTGTATCCCAAACAAATGCAAGACAAATCAGGGACCATTTAGGGGAAGCTGGACCCTAGACAACCACAGGAAGATGAGATACTGAGAGGATTACATCCTGTGTGGCTTGATACCTGGATCCTCAGGAAGTATGTCCTGCTTCTGCCTCACAGTTGACCATCCCTGCCTCCTGTTTGCCTATATTGTTCACACCACCTAGAATGCTCTTCACTTCTGCTTCTAGGTTCACCTGCACGCTAAGAAGAGCAAATGTCCTGTGTTGAGGGCCTGCTGTGTGTCAGGATCTGATCCTTGTGGCCTGTAACCTTCACATAAACCCTAGTATTATCCTGATCCTTAAAAATAACAACATTGACATGTGAATGCCACCATTCAAAGTGTTTCTTGTTACCCAGAACTGGCGCAGGGGTGGCTAGACAGAACAGCACCTGCCAGCATGTGTGTGGGCTGCATAGTGGAGCCGTTTGGGTTCAACTAGGCTTCAATGCCCATTGACATGTACAAGAGCTGAATGAGATGTGGGACAGATGGACCAGTGTGCTGCACATCCTGGCAAGCACAGGAACTAGGGCAGGGGGTGGGCCTGATGGGGGTTATTATGGGTCTCTCCAACCTGACTACAGTTCCCACTGGTTTGTGCGAGGGCCAAGTGTGTGCTGGGCAGAATCAGGCCAGACTGCAACTCCATTTGGTTCCAGTGGAAGACAGGGCTGGACACAGAACTGACCCAGCAATTGCAACCACCAGCACATGCATAGGTGTTTGGGGCGACACCGTCAGTAAGGGAGGGCCCATCCCCAGACCCACAGTCTCCAAGGCCAGTGTCCTGCTCACAATCCCCATATAAGAACCAGCAATGTTTCTCATGAAGTTGTCTTCTCCAGGAAGCCTCGTCTCCAGTCTCCCTGCCTTGCTCCAGTTATAAACCAGAGCTCCTGCTCTGCAGAGAAATCCAGCTGCTTGGCCAAGCCCACACTCTTGGTGTCTTGATGATCCATCTCCTGTCACACTTACTCCTGTCCATAGCTCGTCCCCCTGTAGGTTATCAGCCTCTCTTGTTGTTCGTTAGTCCTAAGACAAAAGCACGTAGTCACTCCTCAGATCCTTTGGTACAAAGGGACTCCTGATCCACAGTCAGGCAAGGAGACTGGGCCAGGCAGGAGGTCAGGTTCTGCCTCCCTGGCCAACAGGAGACTTGGGTCTCTACCACTATGGAAGGGCAGAAGGACTCCTAACCTCAATCCATTTCCCTTGTCCCCCGAATCTTTGCCTGGTGTGGCACATTCTTTGACCACTAACAAACCAGGATAAGACAGATCACAAGTTACCTCATTTTTGCCTTGCGTTTATTCATAGGAACCTATGTGACAAAGGCACACCCAGCTAAGCTCACACAGCTAGGCCCAGAAACCTGTCCTCCCAGATGTCCCTTGACAATGGGTCTATGGCAACTCGAGATCCATGCGATGACTTGAATATATCCTTACAGCCTCCTTACTTCCAAAGTGGGGGTGACACTGCTTAGGTGTGTAACCAGCACTTGGCATCATGCCCTGCACATGTAAATGCTCAGTAAACCTCTTGAGGTTTATTGTGCCTTCAGTCGATTGCTAAAAATGTCTTCCTTTCCTTCATTTTCTTCTCCAATGCCCAGAGTGAAAGGAGCACACAGATAAATCATACAGCTTTACCCACATAACCATACCAGCATTATGCAATAGAACATGGCCAGTCTCTTGCACAAACTTCCAAAAGCCTCCACCCAGTGCTGCCTCTTTTTTATTTTTTCAAATTGGTAGAGTTAGCTATATATAGGCAATTCTATCATTTGGGGGAAAAAATGCCATATGTTGCGCCCAAGGGCTGTGCCAGCACTGTGAACTCAGCAGGACAGCACCAGGCAGCATCCTTCCTATTACCCCTTCACCCTCCCACTCCTGTGAATTCCTGCTACTACTGATGCTGACCACAGGAGAGCTCACCAGATCCCAGCAACTACTTGGCCATGGCAGGAAAGGCCTGCACCCGGAGTTTGGTGAGGCCAAGTGGGTGCCACAAAAATGAGGCACCCAGAGTAAGGCTGGGCTAAAGCTGTAGTGCAGGCTCCCAGAGCTGCAAGCGTATGCTCCCTCAGCGGCAAACTGTGCTTACAGCAACAGATGCCACACTAGAATACAGAATCCCTGAAGACCCCACACAGGGTTCCCACAAGGAAGATGCACCAACTAGGAAGACCACTGCTGCCACTAGGCACCTGGTGACTACAGGGAACTGCCACAGGATCAGAGATACACCAGCAGCTCTGCCATCTTCCCTACCTTCATTCCACCCCTGGTAGCAGCTAGGGACAACTGAAGCAGCTGTTCAAGTCAGGGAGGAGTAGCAAAAAGAAGTCACCTCAACACCGATCTTGCCCTGTACTTGTCTGCAATTCCAGCACCAGGCATGAGCCAAGAGAGAAGAAAATCTATGACCCACAGGAGAAACACACAGAAAGATGGGGAGAGGTCTTCCATTCATCCTGCAACAGACAGGGTTGGGCCCAGCCCAAGCCAGAAGCCCAGAACAGAATCCAAGTCTGTTGTGGGTGTGGGTGTCAGGGACCCCAACAATTGAGCAATCATCTGTTGACTCCCTAGATACATTAGCAGGAAGCTAAAGCAGTGGAGGAGTCAAGACTCAACCCAGACACTCAGGCCCAGCCATAGACTGAGCCACATGCCTGCTGCCCCGGAGCCAATCTCCAAGCTTAGGAATCTGAGATTTATGTCATGGGATGTAGCAATGAGAGACCAACTGAATGAATTAGAGGTAAGTACAGCATTAAAAAGCCATGATATGAGGCCCAGTGGCATGGCCTAGCAGCTAAAGTCCTTGCCTTGAACGCACCGGGATCCCATATGGGCGCCGATTCTAATTCCAGCAGCTCCACTTCCCATCCAGCTCCCTGCTTGTGGCCTGGGAAAGCAGTCGAGGACAGCCCACAGCCTTGGGACCCTGCACCTGCATGGGAGACCTGGAGGAAGTTCCTGGCTCCTGGCTCCAGATCGGCACAGCACTGGCCGTTGCACTCACTTAGGGAGTGAATCATCGGATAGAAGATCTTCCTCTCTATCTCTCCTCCTCTCTATATATCTGACTTTGTAATAAAAATAAACAAATGTTTTTAAAAAAAAAAAGAAAGTCATGATATATTGCAACCTAAAATGTTCATTCCAAAACAGTCATACACAACCATGTCACTTAGTCCCCAGGCTGGGAACTGAGGTTCACAGGCAGCGAACAACATACTCTGAACATACTACCACTGGTTGCGAGGCCGCAGATTCACAGCCTCAGCTCTGTGTGCCTGCATCCTTACTAACAACAAGCACTGCTCTCTAAAGGGCCTGCTGTGTTCACAGCAGCACACAAGTCTCCCTGCTCAGGGTCCCCTTCCAAGCAACAACAGGACTCAAAGAAATGAGCTCTTGCATTCCTTCCTACACTCCAGCCCCAACCCCAGCCTGTGGCGCACTCATTCAGACATAAATGGAGTGCAGATGGTTTTCAGAAAAAGTTCTGAGCGGATACAGAATACCACAGACCCCTGCCATAAACCACAGTGAGGCTGCCACAGCCCCGTCTTCCTGAAGAGGACTGGAACATGAGAAACTCCAGAAGCTCTTGGAAAAAGTCCTCCTGGAGACCGCTTGCGCTTCCTAATTGCAGCAAGATGTCCCGATTAATGCTAGTCTCTCAGATTCAACCCTCTGAGCTCAGACTTTCTTGGACAAGGTGATTGATCGAAAGAGGATGAGAACAGGGACATCCCCCACACTCTTGGTCAAATGTGAGGAGCCAGGCGCCGGCTCTCGCTGGAACACGTGGCAGGAGAGACTTTCCCGGTTGCCAGCCTAAGGAAAAGATGACTTCATCATCTCCTTTGCAATTCACAGTACACCACAGGCTGCTCTCTGCGAGAGACACGAGGGGTCCATACAGCCCCAGATTTCATAGGAGAAACATGCAGGACAATGTGTTTCCCATGAGGGGTGATGACTCTAGCGAGGAGTTTCTCCCAGAAAACGGGGTGAAAGATTCATAATGCGCAAGATGAAGGGCATTTACATAAAGGTAACAGGAACCCAAGTATCCCCCAAAATCATGGTTTTATTAAAGCTGATCATGTATTTAATTCTGACTGCTAGAGAGGGATGGAGAGGGGTGAGAAGGAGGGCAGAGGCACACTAAAGGTCAGGGATAAATGGTGCCTTGTAGTGTTTTCTTAAACCCTAACATCGCCAAGACTTCTCTGGAATGACCTTGGCCATGTCAGGAGGATGGACTCTGAATCCCAAGCCCCAGACCTGGATGGTCTTTAGGTCACCTCATTTTCTCCAAAAGAACACACTCCCTCCACCAGGAAAAACAAAACACAATTTACATCAAAGAAAGGAGTTACCAATTTCTAGCCACTATTACAGATCTTTTTACTTAAACTCGGGGGTTTTCTCTGGTTCCCTTATGACCTCATTCTGCCTTTGCAATTAACCACAAGCAAATGAGAGAACTGCTTTGGGTTTTAGCAAAAACTGCATTATGATGGATTTTTCCAATGGAATCTCTAAGAAGACATTCTGTCCCTAGATGATAGGGTAGACATCATTGAACCATGAAGGAAAATGAGGGTGGTGGGTAGCTAATGAGGCATCAGAGTCTCAAATGTGACTGGCAAACTCATTCCTTCTTCCTTGGCTCGCTCTTGCCACAGATACACAACTAAAGCCTCAAGAAACTCTAGGCTCTCTGACCCATGTACTTGGTCTGGGAGCACAAGTTTTTGAGTACCTGGGAAATCTGCACTAGCTCAACTCATCCTGGACTAGAAACTTAGACAGTTCACCCCCCGCCTTTCCTCTTTTGTGCTTGCCAGTCCATCCACTGTGCAAGGCAGCACTGCTCCTCCAACTCCAGTTGAATCAA